GTCGTGAGAACACTCATCAGCCAGTCACCAAATTCGGAGACATATCCATCAGAGATTTGCGATCGTGTCCGTGGCTAGCGCACGATCTCAACTCGGGTGTTTATTTAGGCCTATTGGTTTACAATCCCGGCCGAAGACTGACAAGTAACGGTCCTACCCACGTCTAGTGGGCCTGCAGCTGTCGGCAATATTCTGTGACAAGGGCTGCGGTACACCCTCAGCAGTGCAAACACATGATGCAATCATCGTGCCCTGTGCAGCGGGCGGAGTCGCTGCAACTTGCAGCTGGTGGCGACGCCGCCGCTCCCCCTTTTCACAGCTGTCTGAAAATGAGACCCTTCCGAGGGTGCAAGCGCCTTAACAGCTGTCATAATCAGTCGAGGCATAAAGGTTATGCTGATTAAATAGGCCTGAATATGTACTGGCACTCATGGAAAGCCCACAGTCCCGTCGGAAGCCGAAGGAATCAAACCAACCCAAACGCCGCCCCCTCCCTACGAAGCACCCGCGCAGCAGTCGAGATCCAATCCACCTCACGATTCCTCTCCGCGTAGTCGCTCACATTCTCCCTCGCCAGCCACTCCGCTAATTCCGAGCCCACGTCCCACAGACCGTCCCGTTCGGGCATGGCAAATCGCAGCTCCGTCAATGAGAGAAGATTTGGCTCGGTCGCACGGCGATGAGGCCCATGCCCATCCACTCCTACCATCCTACAGACCCTGTGCAGCGCTAGGGCGAAGCGCTTGACTTCCTCAATCCCAAGCCAGATGTATACCTCTGGCACGGTATCCTGTGCGAAATGGGCGCGCATCGTGTGGTACGAGAACATGTCCTTTTCGCGGCAGGTTTGGATCAGCGCGAGAAGGAGTTTGAATTGCAGAGGTGGCAGTGTGCGGGTGAGTTGCAGATTGAGGGGGTGTGGGGGAGCCGAGATCAGCGCGAAGATGATGTTGAGGAGGATGCCTTGGTAGGTGGCGATTGGCCAAGATTGGTGGTTGGGGGATAGGTCGGGGGTTTGCCATTTTACCTGGGTTGATCAGTATTGATGCAACGGATGACGATGACTATCGAAGGGGCGACGAACTCTTTGCTCGTAAATGGATAAGCTCAACCTTTCGTGCAGCTCAACTGCAGCTTGCTGTGACTTCGTGTCTTCGGTGACCCAAAGGCCGATCATCGTGATCGATTGCAGGAGGAACAGGGGTTCGTGGACCAAATAGAAGGTGGGACGGTGCACAAAGGGCCAGATGGGGTGGAATTTGGAGAAGTAGGCTTCGAGGTAGGGATCAATATCGATGGGGCCTTGGCCGGGCATAGGTGGGTCGTGTTGGGAAATTGAGATCCCAGAAGCCTCTGCAGACGCAGATGAGTGTTTGGGGATGTTAAAATCGGACTCAAGCTCTGGTCGTATGGTTTGATGGCATTGCAGGGAGCATTGCATCCCTCGTTGCTGACAAGGCGTGCACGGGGCGCTTCCGTCGCAGCGGGTCCTGCGAGACCGGCAGTTATCGCAGGCCTTGAGAGCTCTGGAAGAATTCAGTTTTTTGTCGTGGTGATTGTGCCGGACGTGGTGACGGAGGGTGTCGCTATTAGAATCCGTATCAGTCGAGTTCATATCTCTGTAGTATTTCTACTAGAAAGAGAGCTTACTTGCGAGAGAAGGTCTTGTCACAGAATGGACAAGCTGCGGCAGAAGGTTGGAGATGGCTGGCAGTATGGCGTGTAAGATGTTCCTTTCGCCGGTAGCTTCGTCCACAGCCTGGATGCGAGCAAGAGAAGGACTCTAGATCCATTGCTGTCGTGCTGAGATCAGAGGTGATACTGATTGTCACAGAAGTAGGTTGAGGATGAGCTGGATGGCCGATTCAAGGTGGAAACTTAGATGGAAACGTTCTTCCTCGGGCGCTCTTAACACGAACACTCCAGTATATCACAAATTTTGTGCTTTTATGTCCTCTCACATGTTACTTGCTGTAAGATCATCAGTCCAAGGTAGCAGGTGAAAAGAGTCGACTCAGGATGATATGCAAAGAGAGCAGAAATCGATGGGAGAGCGATGGGATACCGACGCTTACCCAGAATAGCATAGCGTGGCATTGACGGAATGACCGGTATAATCACGTGATCGTCTAGCATTAATCATCTTCAGAACAGCCCTTGTAGTGCTTCGAAAGAAATTGAAAAATCATGAACCTCAGCTGTTTCGAGCCCCGTTATACACTTCCTTCATCACGAGCTCTATACCATGAGGAGAGATTATCTCCTGCAGCCGACTCCATGCCCTTCGCCGACTCGATCCAATTATGCCAGTCCATATCGCTATCAATATCCATGCTAGCATCCACAGGGCCCATATCCAAAGTCTGGACTACGTCGTCTGATGACGTCGTCCAAGGGGCGGAGGCGAAGTCAATGGCGGGATTCGTAACCGCAGCGGAGATGCCGTACAAATAATCAGCCGTGGGCCCCATGGGAGCGGCCGCCTGCGTATCTGGCATCATCAATCCTGAGCTGGCGCCATCGGCAGCAATTGTGGCATCGATAGAGGGCATAGCCACATTGATGGTAGCCAGTGCAGGCGCAGAGTTTTCCGCCACGGGTGTAGTAACCAGCTGGCGCCACCGCTGACGGTAAGCCTCGCTGACGGGTCCTGCGCCCAGGAGTCCAGGGCTGGATGGTGTAGGAGCATTCTGGGCCTCGAGTTCAAGCTTGACAACAGCCACCTGATCACACCGCAGTCGAGTGATCTCAGCGTCACGATGCCGTCGCGCTTTTTCCATCAGCTTCCGAAGAGGAATCCACATGCCCCGCCTCCCGGCGGTCGGCGACGGCGCAGGAATCAACCAGCTGCTGTGCAGGGCGGTCCACGCCCGTTCGACGAACGGTGACCACGGACGACGTGAGATCTCGATCAACAGGTACACAATTGCATGCCAGTGTGTGCACGTTTGATACAGCCAGCGCAGGTGGCGACCGGAATGTTCAGCGTTGAGTGCGTGATTGTACTCTGCCACTTCAATAGCTGCACACAGCAGCCTGGTTCTGATCTCTTCCGTCAGCTTCTCGCTGGGAGAAGAGAACAAGACAGGCAGAAAGACAATCAGCGTCATCTTGGCCATCACCATGCGAACCAGGTTAACAGCGACCCAGGATACGATACTAGTAGACCCGGCCGTGCGTTGCAGGTACTCTTCGTCGAGCTTGCGATAGATCTCGTCCACCGAGCGGCTTTGCTCCTGCATGCCCTCAACCCCATCCGCAATTCCACGGCTCATCATGTCTCGCATGATGTTAGTCATGTGTGCTGAGAGTCGGGGAACGGACATGTCTGTTAGGCCTTGTCGCTCGAGAGGCGTTTCTTTAGTGTCAGAGCTGATGTCACTGTCGTTAATGTTGAGGGGGAGTTTCGTGTCGAAGCTCCCTTGCATGATAGTTAAATCTGTCCCTTGATCTTCGGAGGCTCGTATATCCAACAGGCACACACCCCACCACGCCCGGCGGCGCCGCTCAACATCATACGGGGTGAAGCGATCGAAGTGAGCGCCGTCGCGATGCAGACCCAGGTAATGAGCCATCCGAATCACAAACCCGGTCATCATCCATATGTACCTAGGGCTATCGTATCGACGGGAGAGATAGAGGAAGATGGTGAATGCTTGCACAAGGACGATGTCGGGAGCATTCAGGAAATCGGGTTTAGCAAGAGCCTGCTCCAGCCCTCGACGATATTTGAGATTCAGTTCGTACTTGGAGGCCCCAAAATTGGTCATCACCTGCTTTGGTCAGCAACCGACATGGGGCAGCAGCGAGGGGAAAGATCCTACATCCTCCTCTTCCATCGAAGCTATTGTGGCATAGTAGATTGCAAAGAGTAGAGCCTCATTGGAGGGCGAGAGAGACTTCATGCCGCTTTTGCGCCAATCGCGGACCACATCCGAGACGGTCGGCATGTGCACAATCCCTAAGAAATAGTTCACATTCTCCCCGAAGGTCTCCAGCAGGAAGGGAACCTGTGATGGCAAGGGGTGAAGCTCGCGGAGGTCTGAATTGGCGGGATTCAGATCCAGTGCGAAAATGAATGCATGGCGTTCTGCTGCCGTCCGTTCTGATTGGGAAACCGACGGTTGTTGGCCGGGGGATTCGTGGTCTGGGCTGTCGGAGTCGTCATCTAATAAGGTGTTGGTGGCGGCCATTCTTAGCCCATTAAGCTTTGTGCCCGTTAGAGGAGGCCTCGTGTTAATCTGCAGCACCGACACTCACGCACCTCGTCATCAACACGGGACCAGAAGCTGCTGCTTACATAGCGGCTGTGACTCTCATCCTGCAGGACCAGCCGTCCGACCTGGGTGTGAACGTTATTGGTGCCCGCCTTGGAAGAGGATTCACTCGCATGGTCCTCGCGAGTTGAGCGGCCGGATGAGTGGCTGCCAGTTACGCTGGCCTTATCAGAGGACTCGGGGGGCAACGGCTGTCCCAACTGGTGCTTCAGTTCTTGAACCAGGCTCTCCAGTGTGTTCACCCTATCCATCAGCTGGTCTACCCTCATGCTATTGTCTCTGGCAATAGTCGCAGGGATCGGGTTGGTTGATGGAGGTTCTTTCAGGCGACGGGCCCATCTCGGGGGATGGTCGATGGTGGAGGGCGAGATGCAGGCGATCGTACCGCGACGGCAGTTGGAGCAAGGCGACTGTTTATCGCAGCGCACCTTGCGCTGGCGACAGACCAGACAGCTGCGCGGTTTGGTGGGGGTGATTGATGCATTCGCGCGAACTTCGGAGACCGACTCAGGGGTTAGCACAGTGGGCGACATGGTGCACTCGCATGACAGCGTGGTGTTGCTGGTGTTGGTGACGGGAGGATGGCTGGCTTATCGCGCGATTCTCGGGGGAGTCCAAGATAAGATTTCAGACCCCAGCCTAACCCGGCTTGGTCTGATGCCCCGCCTCCCCGCCGTCTTTGGCTCTCCGAGAAGTAGACGAGAACCACGCGAGATCCACCCGATCTCAGCTTCTATATAATTCCCCTATCCTTTTTCCTCCATGATCACATTCAAGTCATCCTCACATTAGACTCACAATATTTCCAATATTTCCTCTTGAACCATCCAAACATATATCAAAATGGATGCCCCCTCCTGCGAATGCATCAAAGGCACCATTCACGCCGGCCAACCCGTTGGCAGCGAAGAATCGCTCCACGGACTCAACGTCTACGTGACCGGCAACCGCACCAACCCTCGTGCTATCATTGTCGTCTACTCCGATATCTTCGGCCTTCCTCTCCCCAACAACCGTCTTATCGCCGACGCTTACGCCAAGTCCGGCAACTACCTCGTCTACCTCCCGGACTTCTTCGAGGGCGATCCTGTTCCCCTCAAGACGGCCGACGTATTACTTCCCGTCGACGCGAGCAAGCAGTCTACTCTAGCCAAGTACACGGGCATTCTAGCAGCCGCGCCAGCCTTTCTGCTGTGGTGGAGAAGACATCGCGAGGCCCATACCCACAAGGTGTGCTTTGACTTCCTGGCCAACTTGCGACGGGATACCCCGGCCGATCGGAAGATTGGGATGGTCGGGTTCTGCTGGGGCGGCAAGTACGCGCTCCGGGCTGGGTTGGAAAGGAATGGGATTGAGGGGCAGGACGGGAAGAAGGTCCCTCTCGTGGATGCAGTGGTCGCGCTGCATCCCAGCCATGTCGCGTTACCGGATGATGTCGAGGATCTGGTAGTTCCGACGAGTGTCGGATGGGGGTTGGAGGATCAGGGAGTCAACATTGCCATCATGGGCCAGGTGGAAGAGGTACATGAGAAGGAGAGGCAGAAGGAGAGACAACTGCCGGAGATTCAACACAAGGTGTACAAGCCGGGTAGGCACGGGTTTGCGGTTAGGGGGAATCCCGATGATCCCTTGGAGAGGGCTTGTCTGGAGGATTCGGAGAAGCAGGTGCTGGACTGGTTTGCTCGGTGGTTGTGATGGCGTATATGGCTGTGCAGGTAGCCGAGATCTGTCATTGAATTACCGTCTTAGTTAATAATGTCCACCCTTGCATAATGAATATTCTACATGACCTTTGTCTTAGTGTAGCAGCCCTGCATGGTCAGATCTTTCAGCTGCAGCTTACGCTCCGCGAAGCACGCAAAGCTGGGAACAACCTTGCTTCCTTGCAGTATTCTTTCACATGGAAGCAGGTCCTCCAATAGAGACAGGTCGATGATCTTAGAGTCGAAAACGTCACGCAGTGTTTTCATCCATGTTGACTTCAGTACGATTATTTCATGAATTGACCTGTAGAGTGCACCCTGCATAAGGCCCCCAACCAGAGACGTCCCGCATTACCCTCTGAACAGGGCCAATGTTTCACCATGACATGAAGGTGCGAGCCTTGGTAACCAAGCGAGGAATTCTATCCTAGATGGTTGTCGGCTTGGCCTAGGCAGCAAGGACAAGGATCTGCGACAGCTTTCAGCTCCAACATCTACAATGGCAATCTTTTCCTCCAAGTATACAAGAGAGGCTACCGGCATATAAGCTAATTCTCGGCTCCTTCTGTCCTGTGCCTAATCAGGAAGGAGATTGTTGATGCCTTGCAGTGCCGATTACCTCGTACAACTTCAGTGAGCCCTTCTGTCTTGTGTTCCAGATACTGTGATGGATAGCAAAGAGGAGGCTCGATATTGAATAGATAGGTAGTTCTGAAACCTAGCCAAATTCGAAGGAAATCCACGTAAACAGCCGCTATGCGTAGGTTATGACCGCCATAATCATAACCTTGTTAGCCTCTGTGATGCGGGTGTACTAGAGAATGTTTGCATACCATTCTTCGTCCTCTGGCATGACATCTTACGGTGAATCTTAAGCATATTTCGGAAATAAATCTCGTAGCCGTCCTGTCCCTGCCACCAGGCAATATCGACGTCTGACCTGTCGAGCTGATTCACTGAACAGACCTGCTGTGTAACTCTGACCCAACAACCCCTCTTCTATCCTCACCCCGCTTCTTTCATCGCCTCTCCTACTCCCCATCTTCCATCAACTACATACACGATCCTCCAAGCTCTCCCTCTCCACAGAAACGCATAAAAGGCACGATCCGGCCCTCTCTCGAGCACAAAATGTCCGACAACCAGCCACCCGGCAACAGCGAGGACGGACTCGGTTTCAGAATCGAGGGCTTCGGCGTTGTGATTCTTCCTTTCTCTCTTCTCGAGCACCTCCTTCATCTGACTCGTCCCGAGATCGAAGCCCAGAACCGATCCGACCACACCGTGATTCACTCGGCGTTATTGGGCTCCTCGGAGTTCCAAGACCTGGTCGAAGATGGCACCATCCCCGTGCACCCGCTGGATCTCATTTCTCTGTCTGATGATGATGATGATGATGATGGGGGTGACGCTGACAAGAATGACAATGGCGGCGGCCGTCAGTGACACCCCGCTTGCGCTTTGTGACGATCTTGCCGCAAGTGAGATCGACACTGGATCGGATGGCGTTGCTTGCTACATGGAGGTCTTGGATGCCAATAATGCTACTGTGGCTGCTGTGGCTCAAGATTTACCCGATGAGGAGGTGGAGGACGAGGAGGAGGAGGAGGAGGAGGAAGGCGAAGAAGAAGACCAAGTGATGGATGTGGCACGAGATGAGTTGACCTGCGCCAATGAGATACCCACCTATGCCAGCGTCAGCGAGCTTTGCAGTCGAACTGTCCCTACTTCCGTGAATCTGCCACCTGCAGCCCGCCGAGGAAGTCCTAACTGCCGGCTGTACAGCTATGGAAACGCTGTCTTCGTCATCTGCAACACCAGTACTTGTCGTTCTCGGCGGTTCACCGCTCAACGACAGACTTGCAATCGAATCTACAATAATTGCCGGCGGAGATCCAAGGGTGGCTATGTGAAGTATGGTGGGAACGCGGGATTTTCGTCTTTGTATCGCTCTGGCACTACACGGCGGCCTCCGGCGTATGCAGTGTGCTAATCTTGCTCACTGTGAGGTCACGGTGCAGTTATACCCAGGCTAATATATGCAATGCCTCTGTTGTTCTTGCTCTGTGACAGCTTCTTCACTTCTGATCCGTTTACCTTCTTCTTGCCCTTCTCTCGCCTTTTTCTTGATACAAGTCGTTCTTATCCCAGTTAGCTACACAAAGCACCTTAGCGAAGCTCTCCATTCACTCCAGTCATTCCACAATAGCCCCAAGTAGGCCGTTCATCCCCAGATAGCAAAATAAATGGTACAAGAAGTGAGCTTTTCACTCACAGCCCTACACCTCGTATTCTCAATTTATGGATATTTTCTTGCTTGCGAAATCTCTCTTGATGGTACGTCAATTCTTACCTCTCGGGTCCGAGGCATTCCGAATTGTGTACAAGTTTAGTTTCAAGAGAGCCTCCTGCAGAGTCAAACATGAGAAAAGTGTCCTCGGCCTGCAAATCATTCGAAGCTTGCTTGTGGGAGGTGAAATGCAACATACATTTAGCAAAATCAAGTAAGGTGTTAGATTTTTTGCTAGATTGAGAGCCACAAGACGACATAGGTTTCTGAGAGATAAACTGGTCATTAGATAAGCACCGGTGGCTCAGTGGTAGAGCGTCGCACTCGTAATGCGAAGGTCGTGGGTTCAAACCCCATTCGGTGCATATCACAACATGCTTCTTTTTTGTTCCCACGGTTTCCACCACTGCTCCGCTCAGACATATTCCATGGATACAGATACCTTGTTTGCTATATGGTCCGGGGTATGGTCGCATGCTTCCCGTCTCAGTCGGTCGAATACCGTTAACTTGATGTGCAGGACAGTAACAACTCCGAGTCCGAGCTCTGGGAGACCCCTATGATAACAGCCATCAGATCCTAAACCAGAGGCACCAGGGCACCTTATCCATCGAGGAATGCTACGAGGAATGCTATGAGAAATGCTTGGATTTGAGTGGCAATAAAGCAAAAGCTGAAACAAGCACAGCAAAGGAAATCTTGAAAGTCTATATCATTGAAGAAAAACAAGTTAGCCCACCGTCGAAAATCACAACAGGAGTCCGCCAGATGAACGCTCCCTCACCAGATAATCGGAGGTGGCACCGCTCCCGGCGCCTCGAGGACAATCACCTTGACCTCCTGCCCGCGTACATAATGCTGCGCCATCGGAAACACCATGCACCCGGCCCACCGGGCCTCGTCCGCCCTCTCCCGCTGCTGCACCGGAAATTCGGAGGCGAGGAGGGGATTGCCCTACACGGAGCTGCGCCCAGGTGGAAGGCTCACAGCAGCCACCAGGCCTCGCTGCAGACGTTCATGTTGGGGCAGAGGATGAGGATGGCGTCTTCCGGAATGGCTTCCGGGATTGCGATAGCGTCGGTACGCTCGGTGCGCGGGCTGGAGGCGTCGAGCGCGACGCCGCAGACCTGGTGGGTGGTTAGCAGCTGTTTCACCTCGCGGAGGAGCTGAGCTCGGGGGGTAAATGGACTTAGATGCATGGTGGGGTGTTGTTGGGGCTTTTGTTTGGAAGGGTTAGCTTTTACGTCTCTGATGGTGTGTTGGAGGCGATGGTGAGGCGAGGGATACATGGTAGGGTTGGATATGGCTTTTATATCTCAAGCTCTGGAAGACGAGGGCTGCTCTTGCTGGACATGGGCCTTTATGGGCTACTATGCAGTCTTTATCATGTGGAGGACGGAGAGATCGGAACAAGGAAAGCCTGCTGGACTAGAACGAAGAGGACGACTCTTCAACAAAGATAGGGCAACATAACGTGTGAAAAGGCAAGGGTCTTTTCTTAGATGCCATTGCATCGTCTGTTAAAGCAGGAACCAAGAGGTATTCTCCGGCATCAGCAAAGGTCACCAAGGAAGTCATGACAGGGATAGAGCACTGGCTCCGCCATCGGGTAGGCAATGCTTACCACCCTCCTTTTCTCTTCGATTGTTCAAAATTGAGTGTCATGAGTCACTTAAGTATTCAAAAGCACAAACTCGCATGCTTTGCTGTCTTAGCATGGCTGCTTCTGATCCATTCTCGAGCCAAGAGAGTACAGCCGCAACTGTTTGCTCATCCAACTGTCTTTCATTCTTGGTATCTTCATATCATTACATAAAACCAATCATCGATTCCACAGACCGTGCCAACGCGATGCCACCTACTCCAGCTCATACCGTGGCGGTTCCGCCCCTGCTAACTCGCGCGCCTGCATCTGTTTCTTTGTGTCCAACTCCCTGGGCGGCCCCTCCGTCACGCGCGCAGGCAATTCCACAAATCCCCCCTCCCCGGGATTTCGTTTCTCGCCTGCATTCTGGCGCTGGCGCTGTTTCCGCCGCATCATCCACAGCACCACCGCGGCGATGACCAGCGCCCCCCCGACTCCAACCCCAACGCCAATGCCCGCTTTCGCCCCAGCGCTGAGTCCACCACTTTCGCTGGCCACCGTGGTGGTGTTCTGAGACGTGGTGGTGGTGTCGAGATGGAAGTATTCGGCCCAACTGGTCTCCCACGAGGCGTTGGTGCCGGCGATCGACTTGGCGGAAACGGTGATGGTCGTGATGGCTGCGTTCGAGACGGAGGGTCCCGGCGCTTGCGCGAGGAACCATGTGCCGGAGTTGGCGCCTTCGTGGTAATTGACACCGACGAAGGCGGATTGTAAGAAGGCCCGGCCTAGGACAGGGGTATCGGTGGAGAGGAAGCAGGGGAAGTAGGTCTGGTTTTGTTCGACCAGTGGTTCTTGCAGCGTCAGGGCGAGCTGCGCGAGGGGAACCTTGATGGTAATATTCTGGCTGGTGGCGTTGTTGAGGCTGAAGGTGAAGGAGAGGTAAGTCGCGGAGGAGGTGAGATTGGCGTAGTTGCTGCTGGTGGTGTCCCAGAAATACAACCCCAGGCTTTGGTTGAAGGAGACTGGGAGCGAGGCGGTGATCGCATTGCAGGTCGCCTCCGGGAGGTACATGTAGGGCTTGGTCGGGTCGATGGTGACCACTTCGGCCGTGGATTCCCCCTCGCCGTGCTGGAATAAACCCCCCTGGCTTGTGAAGCCTGCTGGTGTATTGTTTCCAATTAATCCAAGGCCAATGTCTTTAAGGGAGATCTGAAATGTGCCGCTTGTGCTGGTGATCGACTGTGCACTGACAGTTCCGAGGACGCGGCTCTGGTCGTATCCGCCCAAGACCAGGGACGCTGGGATCGCTGGGCTGACCGATCCGATGTGCATGCCGTATGAGTACGAGGGAATGGCATTGTCCCCGCCGGAGTTGTAAAGCCACGGGGTGATCATGTTCAGAGTGACATTGTCGACGGTAGCAGTCGACCACGGGGCCCCTAGGGCCAGGTTTCCCACTTGCACTGGATACGCCTTGCCGTTCGGATAGGTCTGGTAGGTCTGGTCGATGGCCTGAATGCTGACGTTGGGGACGGTCGGACCGAATGAGATTTGATCCCCAAGATCTTCTTCAATACCTTTGCCTTCCACCGCCCAGTACAGTGTTTCCCAGGAACTCTTGCTCAGAAGGTGGGCTGAGGTTGATTCGGTTTGGTTGTACGTTCCGGCTTGGGAAGCATAGCATGTCGCGGAAACGGTCTTGTTGGTGCAGATGGAGTCCGCCAGGATGGTGGTGGTGTAAGTCGCGCCTGGGTACAATGCCACCGGTTGTTTATTGCTGCCAACCTCCACCGTCACTGCTTGCCATGGACCGTCGGGGCCGTAGGCCTGGGAGGACCAGTTCATCACATAGGGACTGGCTGCGTACGTCGCGTCGAGGACGGCGAGGACGAGTAGAGATATTCGTTGCATGGTCACATCACATTCGACCTTGGATGTGAAGGCAGGAAGAGAGAGAGACAGAGAGAGAGCGCGCGCGCGACCGGGGGAAGAATGTAAAGAAGAAAGTGGAGAGGAAGGAGAGAAAGATTCCTTGGTGGTGAAAGGGGCGCAGTCGTCGTCATACGCACGCACAGCCAGGTAACGTTTACTTAACCCCTTGCGTTGGGGGCGGAAAATGTCAGTAGTGTCAGTAGTGCTGACATCTGCTCCATTGCCTTGACTTATCGCCCTATGAAGATCGAGATTGGCGAAGGATTGAAATAAGCGATCGTAGATAAGTGGAGAATTGCTTGATTTCCGCATATCAGCTGTCGATCGCGGGTCAAGGAGGCCAATCAGTCCCCTCAATACGGCCCCCATCTCACGGACGTGAACAGCCGTATTCTGGCGGTATTTGTGGCCTCGACTGTATTCTACTCTCCCATCTACCTTGATTGTTCCCATTAGTTGAAATCGAGAAATTCATTCCGTGGTTCGGGTGTTCTTTTATCAGCGGAAGGCCCGAGCCGTCTCGAGTCCGCATTTGCCCGCTCCTCCGAACCAGCCCTAATCGCGGAAAAATCAGTCCTCAGATCACTAAGTCAGTCTCTGAAGGTTCAAATGTCGCAGCCAGGGAGAAACGCTGCTGGCCTTAGTTGCACTTTTCTGGCTGCCTTTTCTTCACTTAGAGTCTATGCAGGTGTTATAGCCGGAATCTATTCCAGACCCAGGCCCCGCACATACAGAACCCCGATTGCGTGCATTAGTCCGAGTGCCATCATCGCAATCCTCTCTACCTATTGACTTGAATTTCTCAGGTGGCTTCGTGAAGAGAAACTTGGTACGCGCTGTGAGTGCACGCTTTGAACGCAGACTTGCTTTCTGTGAGGTCACCACCCTCGTGCCCCGCACTTTCGGTGTGATAAGGGAGGGTTTGGCGATGAGCTATTCAGCCAGCCAAGTTGACGGCCGGGGTGGCGAAAAGCAGATATCGACAACCTTTTGTGTCGAGAACCCGGGGGAGATGGGGAATTCAAGCCATCGCTGCTGCCGGCGGGGATGTGACGGTGTATACTGCACCAGATCCGAGCTGAGAAAATGCCGAGGAGGAGGCGACGCCAACCGATTCGGATACGGAGTGGCTCGAGTCGGGCGAGGTTGAGTATCTGCCATTCATCACCCCACAGGACGCGGTTCCTGAGAGGGCGCTGATAGTTATGGACCGCTTCTCGTATGAAGGGAATAGCTGGAGTGGGAGGACCGGCTGGGATCGTCGGTCTGGGTCGGGCATCTCCCTTATTGCTCATGATAGCGCTCAGATCATCGTCTTTCGGGAGCGCACCAAACAATGGCGAATCGGGATGTACGATACAAGTGGTTGGGTCACCTATTGGGAAGTGCTTGTCTAGGAGAGCCTAATGTTCGTGCATGGGGTGGAGACGTTTATGTGGGATAGAGTGATCTGCACCAGTGATCAAATTGTATGCACCCTGGAGAATTGACTCCCATCACCGGACAACGGGAGAAATCTCAATTGCAATCAATCTCATTGCCTGGACAATTGACATGCTCGTGCGAAGCTGTCCACGTCCCGGCACTTTTGGCAGGAGCTACTTTGAACGCGTCAGCTCTTAGGATCCAGACCGGCAACTTAGATGAAGCGCTAACGAAGCCAAGAAGCGCCTATCCTGAAAGAAGACTTACCAGCCCTACCCCATACCCCGCGTTTTGAAGGTGGTGGTGAAGATTGTAGGTGGTCGGACGCGCCAACCGGTCCTGTTTCGTCGGCTCCACATCAGATTTCGGCATGTCTGGGGCAAGTTGATGTGCTTGACAACGACAGCTGGGTCGAATTGCAAGAGTGAAGGCTGCCGCTTTCGGTTCGTGTGGTCGAGGATGAGAAGATGTACATGGTAGTGTACGTTCAGTACAGTGCAATCTGCTGGCTCCCTTTTCGGGCAGATGGTGCTGTCTCCAGCTTTCTCCCGAGCATTGCTTAATGATGAAAATCAGTCTTACGGCCCCACTGCTTTTCACTCATCATGCTAAGACATGTGGAGGTCAGGTTTACTCCCAGGCCATTGCGAGCACAAGGCAGGGATGGTATATAACTTAAGTTGCTTCCAACTGCCTGCAGATGCCTTCCACCACTACCTGATCACAGACTCCACATTGAGATCAGCCATGGCGTCTCTCACGGTGCTTTTTCTGTCGTGTCTACCGCTCGTCTTTGCTTCTATCACGGTCTGGGACCCCAGCGACTCCGCTGATGTGACTGCTGATGCTGCGGACAACACTCTAATCGCTGATTACACCACCGACAACGGCGGCGCGCAGTACCTGATCTACAATATCACTGGACCATATTATTACTTCGAGGAGGATGTCGAGCTGGCACACGTCACTCTTACGGTCGATGCCAATGACACCAGCGTTCTCGTCGGCACGGAGGGATCAGCTGTGAACCTCTCCTTCAGCGATGTGATCAAGTATGGCTACAGCACATGGCTGAACCAGGCCAGTTTCTTCGGCGTCAACGCGGCAATCAACATCGCCAATCGATCGACCGCGTACATCGACCATGCCAACGTGACGGTCCACAACGGAGCTGCCAACATCTATGCTTACGGCACCGGCACCATCGTCTATGTCAACGACACCGATCTCTACAGCTCCGGACCTGTGTCGCATGGCTTATACGCCGGCGGCAACGGCACTTTTGTGGCCAATAACATCCGCCATTTCTCGGGCGGCGAGCGCAGCTCGGCCTTCTCCGGAGACAGTCCAGCCGGATACCTGCACATCACCGACGCCGTCGCCCACACAGCTGGCATCGGAAGTGCCATCTTCTACACTCTGGGGGAGACCTATGGCACCAATGTGATCGGACATGCCGAAAACGCTCCGAGCCTGTTCTCCGATGGGGTGCAGAAGTCGGTCTTCACCAACGTCGACCTCACCGCGGGCCTGCTCGCCGGTACCATCCTCTTTTCTTCTTCTTCACGCAGCAGTGGCGCTTCGCTGAGCTTCACGAATTCCCGGTTGACCACTCTTGGGGACGACATGCCCGCGTTGTGGTTCGGCAATATCATCGCCGAGGCCGAACTGGTCGCCACCACGCTGAACACCACTTCCGGTGTTCTGGTTCTGGCCAACACCTCGCAGGTGACTCAGGCGTTCGACCATTTCGCCGGTTATGAGGAGAATTCCAGTATCCAACCGGCCGAGGTGACCGTGACCGTGTCGGGGTCGACTCTGACAGGCGACATTGTCGCGTACAACAGCAGTCTCATTGCTTGGAGCTTAACAGACTATTCCAGCTGGACCGGAGCTGCTGTGTATGGTCGCGGCAAGGGGTACTTGGGCGTCTCGCTCGATGCCACTTCGAACTGGACTCTGACTCAGAGTGTCTATCTGCAGAACTTCACTGACGCAGATACCTCCTTCAGTAACATCATCAGCCAGGGGTACAGCATCTACTACAATAAGTCGTCCTCAGCCAACTCGTGGCTCGGGTCGGCTAATGCCTCCTTGCCCGGTGGTGGAAGCTTGATCGCGTACTAGACAAATCCTGCGGCACAGATGACTTGACTGCTGTTTGGGGCAGTTTTGTGTTCTTCAGTGTCGCCGTTCCTGGTCGAGAGGATAATCATGGAAAGGTGGACTGCTATGGACCAGACGACCTCTAGTTGGAATTGAGAGGAAGCGGGAGAGGAAGGATGGACTGTAAATAGCTGCGTGATGTTGAGTGCCCGACCTGCTTCTCTCTCTCTGTTTGGCCTTGAGATTCCTGGGTTGACACTTGCTTTTTGAATGACAAGGTTCAAAGTAACCCACTAGCGGGGATTTTGGTTGAAGGAACAGCACATAGTCAATGAAAGCAATTGAGCGCAAACCCATGGACATCGTAGCTCTGCTGCTACATCGCTTGTAGTCGACGGTAGTGGCTTGGTGAATGATCCCACAACTGTGGGCGTTAGTCAACCAAGTTTGAACGTACCATGGTCCGTTGAGCATTTCACAATGAGCATGTCCCGATGAGAAGCGATGGCCCGTTTCAAAGGTCCACAGAATCCGTTCGTCGGCTTGATTGAAGTACAGCAGTCTACTGGGCACGTCAACGCGCGGAACGAAACGAACGCTCTGGCACTGGCGATAAGGTGATAGATCGGATCCAGCCCGATGCAATCACCGCGCAGGATGAGAGGCATCGAACCTTAGACCCCCTATGGCCGAACGGTTCCTATCCAGGCATTCAAACCCGGTGGCGGTGCAATTGGGTTCAGATGAAACGTGCTTTACCACCGATTGCTTCCATAGAAATGGTAAGGAGGCAGAGAATTTCTGATAAGAAAGTGTGGAAATTGATTTCTCCGAATGTACGGATCCACAGCCCGTGAAGCTAATGCGAGGCCTAAAAGTAGGACCTCGACAGCCCTGTGCGTTCATTCATGTTGTTGAGATAGCTTGCATCATCGCGAACAGCGATCGTCGGCCGCGATCAGCATGCTGGAAGCCGGACCGAACGGAAGAGGCCTGGAAGACAGCCATCAACAACGTGATCCAAGCGCCCGAGGTTTTGCCAGCCGCTAAGACATATCCAATGGTTGCAAAATTAGGGTTCACGGGGGAGAAGAGCCGGTGCATCGTCGGTGAAATGTGGGCTGCGAATCGGGGAGGGCAGATTGACTCAAAATTGAGATGGCGGAGCGGCGCTCCACCCCTGAAACAACCATCACTTTTTCCCAGCCGGTTTCAGGCTTGCAGCTCGTACTCTAGCTCGTACTGCAGCAAAATATGATCGGTAAAATCTTCACTCTAGATGCGACATCACCGGCCCTGGGCACCTCAAACCTGTGTCATCGGCTCGGTCAAGATTGTGCTCGATTCCAGGGCACCAGTCAGGTCGTGGTGCTAGTCGTCCAGCTAGGACTGCGGTTCGTGCTATGGAGAAATCAATCTCGTCGCAAAGCTTAAGTAGATCCCAGGCTCATATCATATCCGTGGATGACATGTCTCCTAGGTGGAGTCAACGCAATTCATCAAGCCGAGGTGCAGCAGTCGGATTCATGTTTCATCTCGATGGCAGAGAATTCGACAGAGAATTGCGGCCTGGCCATGGCCTGGAGGAGGATATAAAAGATGCCGCTAGGTCTCTTCGTTTTTTTTCGTAGCAAGCTCAACCTCTTCAGTCTCTACAGTCGCTCGTTATCACGTCTTCAGTCACCATGCATCTCAAGAAGTCCGTCGTCTTGGCCGGAGTGGCCATGATCCCTGTGGCCTGCGCCGTGCCCACGAAGCGAGCTACCGCCGGTGAGTTCGTCCTCTTGGCTGTTGTCGTCCGATAGATATGCTGACCTCTTCTCAGATACTGCCGAATGGACGGAGCTTCACCGGGCTGCGCAACTTGCCTCTGCCGCATACACCGGCTGTATCGGCACCGCATTTGATGTGACCATCACGAAGCAGCTGAATGATCTGGTCACAGACACTCAGGTATGGACCGCATCATGATGCTCATGACACGGGACTAACCCTTCCTAGGGCTTCATTGGCTACTCCACAGAGAAGAAGCGCATCACGGTTGCCATGCGAGGCTCAACCACTGGTAGGTGAACATAGGCAAGATTTCAGAGAGTCTGCGATGCTGATGGTTACAGCCACTGACATCGCCAACGACGTTGACACCACATTGGTGACCCCCAGCCTTTCCGGCATCAACTTCCCGTCGGGCGCCCAAATCATGCATGGCATTTACTCGCCCTGGTCCTCGGTTCACGACACGGTCATCTCCGAGGTCAAGACTCTAGTGGAGAAGTACCCGGATTATGATCTGGAATCCACCGGCCACTCTCTGGGCGGGTCCCTGACGTACATGTCGTACATTGCGTTGACGCAGAACTTCCCTGAGAAGACGGTCATTAGCAATGCGCTGGCCGCATACCCGATCGGCAACTCCGCCTTTGCTGAGTTTGGCACCTCGCAGAACGGCACATTGAACCGGGGTAACAATGCTGGTGACGGTGTCCCGGTGAGTTTGGGATCGTCCACGGCGAGAGAATGGAAAACGCTGACCGCGCACACAGAACATGTACATCATGTGGCCTTACGACTTTGTTCACTACGGAACGGTGAGTAGAGCATCCTGTGCCAGCCCCTTGAACAGGTACTGATCAGATGAGCAGGAATACTACAGCTCCGGGACTCAGAGCAGCACCGTCAAGTGTAGCGGCGAGCGGGACACCCAGTGCTCAGCGGGTAACGGCCAGTTGGGTGTCACTGCAGGCCACTTTTCCAACTTTGGCATTGCGATGGGAATGGCAGGCTGCAGCGCTTCGCTGTTGTAGGAGTGTGAGCGTATTAGATTGTGGACACGGCTGATGACGGAGCAAAGGGACTGAGGAGGGGAGCATCGCAGCAGGTCTGTGGTTCGTTTGTTGAGAATCGTGTGCAGTGTACCGGTTCGAGGCCCTCTATAGGAGTTCAGTATCGTATAGTGAAATGCTTTTGGAATTGTATATAGGCATATGTGAGCCAACCTACCTCGGTCATCGCCATGTTGCGGAGTATGTAGAGCCGCGATGTCGATCATGCCAAGCCTCGCTTGGGTCCAGAATGCTGTTCAGGGTCAAGAGACCAGCGTGCAAAGGTGTGTAGAGGATGGTTTGAGCTCAGGCAAGAAACAAAGACAGGCGTTGAAGGACGACAATTTGGAGCATGCGAGTCTTCTGACCGTCGATTCGTGCGATGCGCTGCTGCTAAGGCCCGTCATTTCAACTGAATGGTGTCTGGCAACATACAATCGGAACAAGGACCGGTCGGAAGCGGTTCTTAAAGAATGATTTCAGAATTGGATGCGCAGACCGGGCGAGCCAGTCGGAAGCAATGCGATCTTGAATAGCGACCACAGATGGTAGGCGATAGTGCTGTGGTTGAAGTTGTTGTTGATGCAGGCTTGTTGGTGTTGTCATGACGCGCTGTCACATGCTCGGCGGTGTAGGCGAGGGAAAACAATGTTCCTGCCCCCGGTGCGGACCGGAATCCTTCCGCTCTCTTCCGAGCTGAAGCTCCAGATGGACAGTCGCTTCATGGAAACCGAGTCTACATACTGCTTTCGGGAGTAAAGAAATTGATCTTTCAGGATTAAATGATCTCGTTACTTCAAGATAATGAAAGAGATACTAGAGTGCTATATTATCGGCACCGAGAATGAATCTATCAGGATTACGTTGTGTCGATCTTGGTTTCCATGCCGGGCGATGAAGAGCTAAATATATTCTTCCGCGGGACGCGTTCAATGATTCTAACTAGGAGGCGAGGCACATTCTCCATCAAATCCCAATCTGCGAGCCAGGCTACTATCCCAACAGCTTTTCTCGACTATAAGCCGCACTCTTATGACATCACATTCGAGGCTGATATCCATAGACCTGGTGAAAGTGCCTGGTTGAGGTGTTTGCACTGTTTGTGGTGGAGCAGCAAGGCTTAATCCGCCGACGGCGACTCCACTGGCCAGTGGCCAGGTGGTTCAGTGCAACAACAGCAAGGCTGACAGATTCGCAGCCATGGCATAGTTATAATCCTCGAGGACTGACTTACTAACCATTACACATCTACCATGTCTCTTCAAGATATCCCCGAGTTCCTCCTCCTCTGCCGCGAGGACGAGTCGGTGACCGCCTTCGAGGCGGCGCTGGCGCGACAATGGCCCGCCCACGCGACGGAGCCGAAAGTCCAGTTTCGCATTGTGAGGCAATCGCTGCGTGACGTGCCCGCGACCACCCCCTTCGACCTGATCGTTTCCCCCGCCAACTCCTACGGGCTCCTCGACGGGGCCTTTGACGATGCCATCACCCGCAAATTCTGCCTCCCCGACCATCCCTACGAGACCCTGACGCGAGCGGCGCAGCGGGTCCTCTACGAGCGCTGGCGCGGCTTTGTGCCCCCCGGAACGTGCACCCTGGTGCCCTTTCCCGAGTCCTTGACCCCCAACGAGTGGGGGTGTCGGTGGGTGGCCCTCTGTCCGACGATGCGCATGCCAGACCGCGTGAGTTGGGATCGCGAGGTGGTGTACGAGTGTATCTGGAGTCTGCTGGGACAGCTAGAAGGGTGGAATCGGGGGCGTGCGACCGATCGCATTGAGCGGATCCTGATCCCTCCGCTGGCCACCGGGGTGGGCAGGGTCAGTCCGCAGCGCTGGGCGGCCCAGATGGTACTGGCGGTAAGACATTTTGTGGATGCGCTGGAGCGACCGGCGCACTGGAGCAAGATGAACTGGCTGGATGCGGCGGATCATCATCGTGATATCCTCCCCACGTGGAATATGTGATGGCATGAGTTGTGATGGGGCTGAGGAGGAAGAAGCGGGGGGGGGAGGGAAGGGAGGACGATCTAGAATCTAGTCTTACTTCATTACAAGACTCTAATAACTATAGATCCACTATGATCACAGATACACCTCATCCTTACTTCTTCTCGAAACTTTCTTAGAGACTTTTGTTCTGAAGGGAGCTCCCTGCTGCTCCCTTGCGTGGAGGGATCAGGAGAGGAGAAAATGGCGGAAGTCGCGGACATCCCTCGGCCTACAGCGGTAAAATCTAGAAGGGTCGACGAGGCGTGGTCCCGGGGAACGTCACCTCCGTCAGTGGCTTGTCAGGGTTGGCGTTTAAGCAGCCACGGCGGGAGGTGACTGGCCTGACCTGCCTGTTTGCGCCGTTGCGGTCCGAGACGCCGTCCGACATGCTCGGAAAAAGCAGCAGCAAGAATGGGAGAGAGCTGTTCTGGGAGGGAAAGACAAAAGCTATTGTGGTGCAGCAGCCGAGGCAGCGTGGCCTAGGAAGAAAAAAGAACTATACCTCGGAATTGATTTGGAGCACCGGACAACTGTACACTGTATGGACTTACTGTATGTCATGCACGCATGCTCAGCAATGAAACCACCAGAATTCCCAGTTAACCTTATTATAGAACGTTTCCAAAGGGAATCAGGGAAGGCCATCTTTCCCTTGCTGCATTCCAGTTTACCCTTTCCCCGCGCAATAAGGTTGAGAGGTCGAGGCACTAAACGTCGAGGATGGAGTTGATAAGAAAGTCAAGATCGGATGGCAGGTGATCGACGAGAAACTAGACAACTAGAAGCAATCATCTGCACCGATCACCCGCGGGTCGATCGTGACACCTCTCCACCACTCTTCATCGATTCATCTATATCTATATCGGGTGCTTGTACTCCTCGTGTATCGTAGTCTAAAACGTCTCCCTGGGTCGATTGGGAGGTCTTGGATGCCAACCGTACGGGCTAAAGCAAGATCGCGAGCCGGAGAGATCTTTAGGTAGGTAGGGGGGGGGGGGAAAGGAAGGAAGAGTGGAGGCAGCGGTTCTCTGGAGCAATCTCGAGCAATCGAGGACCGTCTCGCATGCGGCCAAAATTCTCTCGAAATTCGGGGGCCCTGGCAATGGGGAGCAGGTTCTAGAGACCGGGGACGCACGCAGATTGGCTGGAAGTGACAAGCAGAAACATCGCGTGGAATTCGACAGACCCACTTGGCGTGGACGTAAAGGGAGCGATGGCGTTGACAGCCGGGTCTAGACTGAGAGAGACTGGGAACGACTGTTAGAGACGGAGACCAAGGGGGAATTGATTGGCACCTCGTGCAGCCCACTCTCCGACAATCTTGGATAGCCCTGTTGGTTGGCAAGTTTTATTGGTGGGGCCGGTTGGCACGATGACGTTGAGGCTGAGATGACAATTCGCCAAAGGGGGGGGGAGGGAGGTTGTACGTACTCCGTAGTCTACTCATAGATTGAGTAAAAATGCCGGTAGAGCCATAGTGTCGAGAGTGTCGAATAATTGCGATCGATCGATGGATGGATGGAGAACTTGTGACCGCCTCCCTTCATAATTCTTTTTCCCCCCCGGAGAATTATGCCGGCTTCTGCCCAGTATTGGTGGTAGTGCCTGGTCTTGCCGCCTTCCGCTCGTTCCAGCAACATTTCTCTTCCCTTTTGCCTCCTCCTCCTCCGCTAGTAGTATTTACTTCCCCTCCCGGCTTTTTCTCTCCTTCTTTTCGCCTCTTCGCCTCCCTCGCTCCCTTCCTTCCCCTTCCCTCGCTCTCTTTTCCTACTTTTTGGACCTCCCCTCTCCTTCCCCCCCCCCACCCTTTCTTTTCTCTGCTCGTATTCCGCAGCCCCGGATGTAGCTTGGTGAACGTGGTTCGTCGTGTTTATTCACTTCATCCCCCGCAATTTCAATATCCGCGCCCATGTCCGAGTCCTTCGAGTCCGAAGCGGCGGTGATCCACGATCCCGCCAGCATGGCGCAGGAGCGGGAGTTCTACAAGTGAGTCGTCTCCTAGTCCTCTCGTAATTCCAATTGAAACCCGGTAGACTGATTACAATGCTCTCCTTTGATAGGTACTGTCAATTGCCTCAACGCCCAGGACTGCTGCATCGCCCGCCCACTACCCCCTCCTCTGAGGAAGCCGAAGAAGAATTGCCTCAATCGTCCCAAGACACCACCCTAACCGCCCTCGCTCAACTTGGTGCCTTGCGACTCAACGCTCGGCGCTGCATGATTTCCCTCTTCGACCGTCATACTCAGTACATTCTCGCGGAAGCCACCCGTACCCTCAGCCTTCAGGATGATCGCGTCCACAAGGATGGAGATGCTCTTTGGCTAGGGAGCAGTGCCATCCAGAAGTGTGATGGTGTCTGCCACTATGTCTGCGACTATGAACAACTCAACGCCGGTGACGAGTCACTGAGCAATGGAGGGGGCCCGTTTGCGCTAGTCATTCCCGACATGACTAAGGACGATCGAACCAAGAACCGCGGTTACGTCGTGAACGCCCCATTTCTCCGCTTCTACGCCGGCGTGCCCATCCATAGTCGTCGCGGCATCGTGATTGGCGCTTTTGCCGTCAGTGACGGGCAGACGCGACCGGGCCTCGACGAACTGGAACTACGTTTTATGAAGGACACAGCCGCCGCAATCATGAACCATTTGGAGATGGTACGTTCTCAGCAACAGAACCTGCGCGGAGCCAACATGATTGCCGGTCTGGGGCGCTTTCTCGAAGGGGGACTGTCCTTGCCCCTCGGGCTGCGTAGCAAGAGTACCGACAACCGGGACCTTGCAGACAAACAGTTACACTTGCGCTGGAACCATGCTACACGGACGCCGGGGTTTTCGTCGCCTCGGGACCCTCGTGAGCGCCGGGATTCGCGGGAATCGAAGGAGCAGAAGGAATTGAAAGAGCCGAGCGCGCCCAAGGAAGCGTCGTCGCCTTCAGGTTTGCATCCCAACAGGTAAATTCGCAGGACATCGCTGACTCGGAAACAGGGTACGAAGGAAGCCGCACTGCGGATAATGCAACAACCAAAAAGAGCCCCTTGACCAAGACACTATCGACCGGCACCCGAGAAATCCTCAATCGTGCGGCGCACGCTCTACGCGAATCCTTGGATGTCGAGGGAGTGGTATTTTTTGACGCCAGTGTGCGCTCGTATGGCGGGCTTATGCAGAGCGGAGAGGCCCGTCATTCCGATCTGGAGATCAGTACTACTTCCGGCTCGGGCGAGTCTGGTAGCGACAGCGAACACTCCACCGTCGGTCATTCGTCCACCGAGACGGACGAGGCGGCGCTTTGTGAGGTCCTCAGTCTCTCTACCGACCCGGAGGATGCGAGCTTTCCGGTCGGGTCCTTCCACGAAAGCTATCTGCGGTCGCTTCTGCACCATCATCCCCGCGGTGGGATCTTCAATATCGACGAAAATGGATGGGTCTCGTCTAGCGAAGGCAGTGATGGGGCGACAGGGAGTGCACTGACTCGGGATATTGTCTATCGGCGTCGAGAGGCCACACAGGGCGGGAAGAGTGGCCTCCGAAGCAAGCGGCAAAAACTCACCTCCCGCGATGAGTGTAAGGCTTTGCACAAGGTCTTTCCTCAAGCACGGAGTGTCATTCTGTTCCCAGTCTGGGATTCGCGTCGCAATCGATGGTTTTCAGGGTTGTTTGCGTGGACCACCTCTCCGCGAGCTTTCAGCTCCCGCGGCGAATTGGCTTACCTGTATGCCTTTACCAACAGCATCATGGCCGAGATCCATCGGTTGGATATCGAGCTCGCCAACAAGGCGAATCGGACGCTGGTCAGCAGCATCTCGCACGAACTGCGCAGTCCCTTGCACGGTATTCTCGGCAGCACCGAGCTGCTGACCGATTCCAGCATGACGCCACCGCAGGTTGCTCTCGTGCAAACCATCGAGAACTGCGGTCGCTCGTTGCTCGACATCATCAACAACATGCTGGATTTTGCGAAGATCAACCAGTTCACCCGCAAGTCCCGATCTGGGCGTTTGAAGGCAGGACCGGCCTTGGCCCGACGACATGCGAACTCCGGGCGAGCGCTGGCGACGAAGCGACCGAGCGAAGGCATTGTCAACCTCATCACCGATGTTCAACTCGACTCGGTTCTCGAGGAGGTCATGGACACGGTCTTTGCGGGTCACTGCTTTGCCACCACCACCGGGTTCCTGGCCCAAGGGGGTCCTGTACTGACCGATCAAGACAAGGATGGTGACTATCTAATGGGCAATACCCCGCAGAAACCCCGGACAAACGAGCCTTTGACGGTCATTTATGATGTGGAACCAGGAATGACGTGGCTCTTCGAAACACAGGCAGGTGTATGGAGACGGATTTTGATGAACATCTTCGGCAACGCCTTGAAGTACACACGGTCCGGTCACATTGTGGTCTCTCTGAAATCTGCCAATGCTGCTGGTACCAAGCCCAAGCGGATACCATTTACTGATCCTTTCAAGCACGAGGTGGCTGGGATCGTCCTCAGCGTGAAGGATACCGGACAGGGCATTGACAAAGAGTACCTCAAAAGCAACATCTTCAAGCCGTTTTCCCAGGAGGATCCCCTGTCTCCCGGAAGCGGCTTGGGACTGAGCATTGTGTATCAGGCGGTGCAGACCATGGGAGGGAAAATCGATATCAATTCCACTCGGGGAATGGGTACGGAAGTAACGGTGAGTGTCGATCTGCTTCGGAGCCCGAGCCCGGCTCCCAGTAGTGATCGAGAGGCGCGCACAATTCATAAAGCGCAGCAGTTCTCTCGGGGGAAGTCGATTGGGCTACTTGGGTTCAATGGGCCCGAGAGGGCGAAGGACGAGGGGCTTGCACTGTTGCGGACCTCGCTCAGTAGCATTTGTCAAGACCACCTTGGCATGCAAGTCGGCATGGTCTCGTGGGATTCGAGTGATGCGCCGCTCTACGACGTCTACCTGGTGCAGCATTCGGACTTCGGTCGCGTCGATAGCACCTGGGCCAGTATGGCGGGCAAGGCCTTGACCATCGGGCAGGAGCCCAAGGGCCGACCACCCGTAGTCGTCGTATGTCCCACCCCACAGGAGGCTCAGAGGATGGCCTCCACCGGTTACCGTAGCCCCTCGTCTGCCATCTATGAGTTTGTCAGCCAGCCGTGCGGACCGACCAAGATCGCGACGGCGGTAATGACCTGCATTCAGCGGCGCGAGCAGCAGCAGACGCAGTCGGTGACGGCCAAAATGGATGCTACGCTAGAGGAGGAACCCGGTACGCAGCCAACCAAGTTCACAGCGGCCTATCACGCCTCCACCACAGACGTACAGACTAAGACATCGTCAGGTATGGACATTGCGCTGACCACCTCCACCACCATGGTCTCGACGACCACATCCAGCAAGGGGGATTCAGTGACCAAGATCTTAGCGATCGAGACGACGAAACGAGCGCCTGCGGTCCTCCTTGTGGATGACAATGAGGTGAACCTGAAATTGCTGGTTGCCTTCATGAAGAAAGCGAAACTGTCGTATTTCACGGCAACCAACGGCTTGGAAGCCCTGGAGGTATTCAAGGCTAATGCCGGACTGATTCAGATCATTCTCATGGGTAAGCACATTCTCCCGTCGGGCATTTGACCTGCGTGCTAACGTCGCTATAGATATTTCCATGCCGGTCATGGATGGTCTCGAGTCTACACGGCAGATACGTCTCTTCGAGAAAGCACAGGAAGAACTTAGCCCGACGAGCATGCCGTCAGCCAAGCCCGCAGTGATCATTGCTCTGACCGGACTGGGCAGTGCTACCGTCCGCCACGAAGCCCTCACTCACGGGGTGGACCTCTTCTTGTCCAAGCCGGTTCGGTTCCAGGAGCTTATCAAGCACATCGGCGAACTCGTTCATTGACCTTCTCATCCCTGCCTTTCCTTCTCTTCTTCGACGCAAAAGTTTCCACATACCCCTTTTTGTATTGATGCGACGATTTCTGGGTGATGTATATATACGTGTGATGAGCATTATATGGAAGGCGCATAAGAGACTTCCTGTGATAATAGATATATACCAATATATGTCATATAACATTACCTTAAACCTCACGTATACGCAGTCTATGGAGTCTATAACAGTTGATGGTCAGGCGATTTACGGTTGTAGAATTCAACATCCAGATACACAAGCGAGCCTCGTTCCCGTCCCCTGAGCAGAGGTGTTGGTCCGCTGGATGACAGTGTTATGTACAGTACATGCAACTCTACCTCTCACCTTCGCATTGCCTCTCTGACTTGCACCCTAAGCCCGTCTTCTCTCCCACCATCAGAATGATCTGTGTCTTCCCTTGCGACCTATTGGAACCAATGCCATCAGCACTCACATTTATCAAGCAACCTGCAGCATTCTGCCTGCTCTCGCTTAACGTATCCCGGCCTCATCGGCGGTAGCATACACTCCAAGACCGCCACCGGGCCTTAACGCCGAAAGCCGACGGCCTCTACTCGACGTCAACACATACCGATCAAGCCCCCAGCGTTCTCCATCTAGGGTCCCCCCTCAAGAACGATAACTTTCATTGGGTCTGCAGGTCGCCTCGACCTCTCGCCATAAGACCGACGCGCAAACTCGCCATCGAGGCAGCAGATGGCGTACCCCGGAAACACCCCTTTATATCTATGATGCTCAGCCAGCTTTGTTGTAGGGCTATCGCTTATCGAACCTGCGATGCTTCCCCAGCCCCACAATGTCCCTCACCTCCAGCACTAAAGCCCCGGTCGACCATGTCCAGACCCCTGAGGAAGATGGCATTGTCCGTTCCCGGCCTGGCAAGGCCACGAAGGAAGAACGTCGGATCCTCCATCGCGTGGACCGCCGGTTGATTGTCATGCTGGGGTTACTGCATACGGTCTCCCTGATCGATCGCGGGAATCTGGGGACCGCGTCGGTGGCGGGCATGACCAAGCAGTTGCATCTGATTGGGATGAGATATGTGCGTTCAGTCCCTTCGGGTTGTTCTCTGATGATCCGGAGAGAGGGGAGAGACTAATCTGCTTGGTTGTTGTGGCAGAGCATCATCGCCGTCGCGTTCTTCCCGCCGTACATCTTCTTCCAGGCGCTGGGGCCGGTCTTGGTCCGGAAGCTGGGGCCGGTGGCGTATATCTCGGGCGTGTGTTTTGTGTGGGGGGCTGTGATGGTATGTTTCTCCCTCTCCAGGTATCGATCTGGTGAATGCTGAGAAAGGCGTAGTTGTCGGCGGGCTTTGTCAAAGACTGGACCCAGCTGGTCGGTATCCGGATCGTCATCGGTGCCCTGGAGGCGGGCTTCTTCCCCGGAGCGGTATACCTGATTTCAACGTGGTACACGCGGTTTGAGATCCAGAAACGATACGCCTTGTTCTATCTGCTGGGATGCGTGGCGTCAGCCTTCACGGGGTTGCTGTCGTATGGGATCACCTTCATGGTTAGCAGCTCCTCTAACCCACCAAGCCTGGATAGACCTATCTGACATGAGAAAGAACGGCCTAGGAGGGCTGACCGCCTGGCGCTGGATCTTCGTCATCCAAGGCCTCATCACCTGCGTCCTGGCCGCGATCGCCTACTTCGTGTTGATCGATTTCCCCGACCGCATGCTGACCCAGCGCAACCGCTTCCTCTCGCCGCGCGAGTACGAGCTCGTGATCCAGCGCATCGATGCGGATCGCTCTGACGCTGCCCTCGAGCCGTTTAATCTCCGCAAATACCTGGCCGCGGGCCTCGACATCCATATCTGGGGCTTCGGGCTGATCTACTTCTGTAGTACGACCACTGCGTATGCTCTGTCGTACTTCCTGCCGATCATCTACCAGAATGGGATGGGGTTCTCGATGGGCGTGTCGCTGTGTCTGTTTGCGCCGCCGTACGCGGCCGCGGGGATTGTGATGATGGCGACCTCGTGGGTTGGGGATCGCTATCGGATTCGTGGGCCGATTATTGTGTTTAATTCGGTGCTGTGTTTGATCGGATTGCCGCTGATGGTACACCCCTCCCTTTTATCTTCTTTTCGTGAGCGTGTAGGGATGAATGATGGTGCTAACGCAATGCTTTAGGGCTTCACGACTGGCGTAGCGCCCCGCCTGGTGGGATGCTTCTTCACCACCATCGGCGCGAATGGGAATATTCCGGCCGCGATGGCGTATCAGGTTAGTCATTGCCCTTGCATACTATCTCAGTATAGTAGCTGACTGGATAATCTAAAGGCAAACAATGTGCGCGGCCAGTGGAAGCGCGCCATCTGCAGTGCCATCTTCGTGGGACTCGGGGCATCCGGCGGGATGACGGGGTCGCTCGTGTATCGCTCGCAGGATGCGCCGGAGTACCGGCCAGGGATTTTGGTCAGTATCGGTCTGACCTGCTTGTCCATTGTGTTGGTGGGTTTGCTGTCCCTGCGACTACATTATCTGAATAAGAAGGTGGATAAAGGGGAGTTGGTGATCGGGGGGTTGCGCGGGTTCAAGTATACGCTCTAGCTATCGCCGTCACCATAGAACATATGATATTCAGTATACTTGCAGAATAATATCACTCTAATCTAAGACCCAAGCACTCAAGCCAGCCCCTCCGCAAGGAATCCCCTAACCACCCCCCCAACCTCTTCCACATCATCCACGTGCGGAAAATGCCCCGTCCCCTCCACGACATACTCCCGCAACCACCGCCCATCCACCTCCTTCCGGACAAACACCGCATGCGCCGTCACATCATTCTTGTGCAGACTTTTCCGCTCGCTTTCGAAATCGCCCTCCTGGCTTTGCAGGTCCAGCAACCGCACTGGCTGTTGGCCAGTCGCCACCAGCTGGTCGTTGTGGCGGTCGAGGGCGTGCAGGATCTGCGCGAATCGTCCATCGACCGTCCCGTAGTAATGCGACATCCGAATGAGATACGCGAAGTCCAGGCGGGAGTAGGTTTCCTGCACCGCGGCGATTGTTTGGGGGCTGGTGTGCGGGCCGAAACACCGGGCGATGCGGTCGGGCATAGTGCTGCGGTAGTATTCGGCGTGCGTGGCGAGGGTCTTCAGGTCCAAAGGGGTCGGGAGTGTGGTGCCGGAGTAGGGGCCGTCGAGGAGGATTATCTCGGTGACTTTGAGGGAAGAAGGTGACGTGGTGAGATTATAGGCGAAGAGGTCGAGGACGGTCAGCGTACCCATGCTGTGGCCGTAGACTGTGGTGGGGATCGGAGTTGGGTTAGGGGTGGGGGGTGAGGATAGGAAGAGGGTAGAGAGTAGCTCTGCATGCAGCTGGACGAGAAGTTTGTTGATTCCTCCGGCCTCTGGGGTGGGTAAAATGGAGGTCGGCGACTCGCCGTGGCCTGGGAGGTCGACAGCGACATAGACGTGGCCTGCGCTGAGGGTGCGGCCGTGGGCGTGGAGGTGGGTGATCAGGGGAGTGTAGTCGGTGGCTGGACAGCCGAATCCGGGGATAAAGAGGGAGATTTGCTGGAGCGAGGACTGTGGACTCGTAGCATTGGTGAGGTAGGAGAGGCCGGTGGACGGCGAGGTCTGGCGCTGAACCTGGAGAGGCTCGGTGGTCATTTTGATGATGTTGATGTATGGATTGGATGGCACAGGATGGCACAATGTAGGTGAGAAGCTTGATATTTATCCCAAGTAAAGTAAAGCTGAACCTGAAGAAGTTGGATTAGTGAGCATGACTAAAAGAAGAAATAATCAAAGTATTGCGAATCATTCTTGATTTGTAAAGCTGACGATCAATGATGAAGGTGAAACTAAAGGCAACGGGAGCTACAGTTAGGGCTTTTTCATATATCGCCATTCCGCACACCGACTCCACTCAACCCCCCTCAACGCCTTAACACTCGTATTCAAATCAGAGCAGTCCGATCCACCATCTTCAATGCCCGAAAAGAGGGGCCCACGGAGCTCGACACTTGGGACACGCTCTCGGCCGGCCATTGGGCTCGGCGCTGTCAAGCCAGGCATTGATACACTCCGAGTGGTAATTCTGCCTGCATAGCGCCGGGCATGGGGTCACATCCTGGAGACTCTCGTCCATGGCTAAAAAGCAGATCGGACACTCCGCCTCCTCGTCGATATGATTAGGCCACGGCGCGCTACACCGGGGACAAGGCATGTTTTGATCGGCATACGTCTCGCGGCACTGGTTGACCCAACGTTCCACACAAGGCTCGTGAAGCCACGCTCCGCATTGCTGGGGACAGCAGACCTCGTAGTCCTCGATGGGCTTTCCACAAACCGCACAATCCTCTTGAAAGATGTCCTGCCAGCACGTCGGACACGGACAGGGCTCTTGGTTCTCGGAACTTCTGGGGGTGCGCCAGTCTGAGACACAGTTGTCATGATACAGTGTACCACATCCGCCGGGGCAGGAGAATCCGTCCTTGTGCATGCGTTTGTGACAGATCAGACAGCAGTCGTCCTTGATCTTGAGGTTGTTCAGGGCCGCGTTGATGTTGTGGTCGTGAGGCGGCCGGTCTGCGTTGGTGGTGCTTGCATACACTGGAACGCCCCCGGAGACATCACTGGACAACATGGAGTCTGGATCGGCGTCTTCTCTGTCAGAGTCTTGATCGGAGACCTCATCGTGACACGAGGATCCCACGTCGTGGCCGAGTTCATCCCGGTCCGCGACCTTGGACCCCCAGACACTATCGGTGCTGAAGCCAGCGCTGAAGCCGCTTTCATACCCACTCTCATTTGGTACGGGGCAGATCTGAACCTGGGCTTCAAGACTGGACTTGCACGTATCACCGCTGCTGAAGGTAGCGCTGAACCCTCTTTCATCCCCACTCTCCTTGATACCGGGGGAGGTGGTCTGAGCCCGGTCCGTGACTTTTGACCCGCAGACAGCAGCGGTGCTGGAGGTAGCACTGAATCCACTGTTCCCTGAATTATCGCTGCCTACAGAGGAAGGCTGATCCTGGGCTTGAAGGGCACCCGACATCCGAGGCTCATAGGACCCGGTACGAGCACTTGACCCTGTAGCTTGACGAGTTGAAGCGATAGAGCTTAAAAACTTTCGTTCATAGACATTCGAGGGGCCTGCGTGGGTACGCCGGACTGCTGAAGAGGTGGGCGCATTGGCCGGGATTTGAGCATAAACCCGATGCCCTCCCTGGCCCTCTCTTTCCTGTTTCTCTGCTTGGTGTTCCTCTGCGGAGCGAACTGGTTGTTTCCCTTTGGCGATTGATGAAGGCTCTTGCCGACGGTCCGAGTTATCCTTTGCCCGACTGCTCACGGTGGACTTGCGATGGGCATAACCGCGCTTTCCAGCCAACCATCCGAGAAAGCCTCCCACTGGGGCTGAGGCACGAGGATGGTCAGCCGACTTGTCTTTGAAGGAGATGTTTGGGTGTTTCTCGGGCATGATGATGGTGGTGGTGAGATGTCGAACATGCGTGTCTCAAGCTAACCATGTTATTTCTGGACCCCAAGTATGACCTTTATACACGAACCACAAAGCTCTGCCAAAAGCACCACGAACAAAGCGACTCACTTCACCGGAGAATACCATTATGCGTATCGACGAGCTTAATTATGACTGAAAGAGCACGAGCAAGCAAGCGAAATGCGCCGGTATATGAGGACAGAACCCATCCACTCGTTGTCCCCGAGCCTTTGTATAAATACATCGGTTTGTTCTCTCATTGAATAGCCGTGAGACAACAATCCCCCCCTCCCCCCAAAGAAGCCCACACGCATTGGCACATCCCTTTCAACCTTGGACAGAGCACGTAACATGGCTCAACATCTAATCCCCGACATCGACGAGACCTTGCCCGTTCACGACCCCGAAGCCCTGGACTACCAGGCCTTGTCGCTCGTCATGGGCCGCGCCTTCAGTCGCTTGGGCCACTGGTACGCGCACCTCATCTACACCTACGACTACCAGGTGAACATCCTTCGGACCAATTGGTCGGATCCAGGGCTGCGCCACACCGTCCTCGACCTAGTGACGCGCTCGCGAAACCACGGCCTTGAGGTGCTCCATGGGGACATCCAGGACTGGGCGGCGGTCTTGTATCGGATGGAGCGTGCGCTCGCCGGCATCTTGACGGAGCTCCTCCTGAACCACGTTACCGATGACGAGCGCGAGGATCCGCTCATGGCCCGGTTCCGTGAGGTGTTCACCACTGGGAACGTCACGGCAGGCACCTCCTTTGCCACCTCCTCCACCTTTTCGGTCGATATGGAGATTCTGCACCAGTTGGAGGCCATCGGTGAACAGGAACGCGCTCGACATTCTCGCCGGGCTCGCGCGACGAACCTGATGATGTGCATTGCGCTCGCCAAGCCTATCCAGATTCTGCGCATGATGATTCCCCACCCGGCCAAGACCATGATGGAGCTCTGGAGCAATCCGTTCGAGTATCCGGCGTGGCAGGACCACTGGCCCTGGGGTGGGGATAGTTTCTTTCCCCCCAGGGACCCGGTGCCACCCCCCACGGAGGCGGATGCCGCCCCCGTAGCCAGCCAGCGAGCAATTGGACCGGATGACATATGTCCCATCTGTCGGGGCGAGTTCCAACCCAAGGACGAGGAGGCGGCGTTGCCTGTCGTCTGGTGCGCGCGCTGCGGGAATAACTTCCACGGCGCCTGTCTGTCGACCTGGCTGGACAGCGCGGGCTCGTGTCCAATGTGCTCCTGCTTGTGGCAGACGGGGCGGACTGGGTAGATTGAGATTCAGTCTGCCTGCCTTACGTTGTAAGTTCTTATTGAAATAGAATCTATTTCTGACTCTATTAATATCCCTTGGTTTTTACCTAGCTCTGTATCGCTACCCCGGTCATCCGATATTCTGCGTCCCTTACGCAAGAATCTTCCAGATCATTCATTAGACCAGAAAGCCAAACCACACCCAGTTGCTGATTGCTGTCCAGCTAAATCAGAGGCTTCCTCCCATAGGCAACCTTACTATATTGTCATTAGCCCGGGGCTTTCCTCACACCAAGCCCATGGCACTTACATCTTGGTATACGAATGCAACGACCGATCCTTCAACTGCTGGCGCACCAAGCCCTGCATGAGCTTCGTCCGCTCCTGACTCCAGCCCAGCACCTGCGTGCACAGCCGCAGTCCATACGCCTCGACGGCCTTCTCGACCATTGCGGCCTGCACGCGCCCGATCTCGCGCAGCCGGGGATCCTGCGGCCACGGCGAGAAGGGCAGGATGTAGGTCTGCTCGTGCACGTCCTCGAACCCGTGCGCAATCAGCCACGGCTTCAGGTCGATGTAGATGTTCAGCTCCCGGCCGATCATGTGCGCCGCGTCGTTCAGCGACATCAGATACTCCATCAGCGGCGAGTCCATCTTGAGCGTGCCGTCGTCGCTCCACGCCCAGACGGCGCTCTCTTGGAGCTCCAGGTATCCACCTGGTTTGAGGTGGTCGTAGGCCTGTCGGATCAGGCGGTGCCAGTCGACGACGCAGCTGTTTAGGGGTGGTTAGTTTAGTGTAGGGGTTGAGGTTGGGTTAGGGGGAGAGGAATTGGGAGAGGGAGGGCACAGTACCCTGCTAGGTTGCGGGAGTGGATGAAGTCGTAGGCATTCATCTTCTCGAGCCAGTCGGACTCGTAGTCGTCGACGAAGAATTCCACGTTGGGGGGCACCCAGGCGGGTTGGATGGGGCTGAGGTCATTGCCCACGACGACGGCACCAGGGTACTGGCTGGCACACACTTAGTAGGTGTACTTTGTAGAGATATGTCACCTGAGGGAAGAGTCATACTCGGCGAAATCGATGGCCCAGTTGCCAGTCCCTGTGCCCAGGTCGAGCACTTTCTGGGGGTTCTTGATGGGGGCGTTGAACAACTCGCCCCCCATCAGCATTAGGTAGCTGGCAAGTGGTGGTCAGCTCATGCTGCAAGGGCATAGGGTAGTGCAAGTGCAAGCGAAGAAAGCCCACATGTGATGAGTCTGGCGGTGTTAGTATCTGTGAAAGAGACAACGAGCATGGGAAAAAGGTAAGTTACCAAGTCCAGCCTTTCTTGTTCCTCTTCGTCATTAGGCATCCTGAGCTTGTTAATGCTGTCCTATGTGTCCCGGAGGAGTTGAATTACATGTAATTTCCCTACGGTCGCATACCCTCGTCAGGCCCCAGAACATTTGCGGCAAGAGGCCCACCTACCGAGCGAAAGCTGGCGTATCGACGACCATTCTCATACTGGTAGTCGAGGATACTGGAAGAGAGCGAATAGGTTTCCATGAAGTCCTCATCATAGTCACTGCGCATCGACTGCGGGACGGGGGGGCAAAGGCAGAGTCAACAGTCAACCAAGGACCAAGGAACCAAGCATCAACCCAGTGGACACTCCGGGCCGGGCCGCGGACACAAAAACCTACCTCGGTGTCGGTAACGAAGTCTTCCTGCTCTGGAGGGGGAATCTCCGGCCCAAGAGGCGACAAAGGAGCGTGGGGCGGTTGGTGGCCGTGGGGCTCCGGGTCCTGTGCGTGCCCATAAGAGTTGCTCCCAGTGGGATGGGGAAACTGGTGTTGCGGTTGCTGCTGTTCAGCGGTAGTCATGATGAGGGTAAAGATGATGTGATTGAGGGTAAGTGAGAGAAGCAACAAGTGCGACTCTGCCCCTTAGAAATATGTGGAGAGAATCATGGGAACGCCATCCGACGAGCCGACGGAAATTGAAAGGTGCAGATCGCAGGATTGCACCAGTCTCTCCCGGTCGATCCCAGTCTATCCCCGTTTATCCCTCGTGCGATTGTGTGACCCAAGTGTCGTCATTGCGATGAGCCTATGGCAAGCAACAACAGGCAGGAATCGGGCAGAGCGATCACCAAGAATGATCGCTTAGCCTCCTGCGTCAGCCTGTCATCAGATGCAGATCCCTACTCCGGAGTACAGGAAGGGCCAGGAAGGGATGGAATGCGTTGGGTCCAACGGTGCCAGTCAGTTAGTCACACGAAATGTGAGCTGTCATTCTCGCTAATTCTCGCTAGGTTTTTTAGACCGTGCACTATTGAAGTCAAAGTGAGCTGTCACGCTTAGCTGTTCCCCTGCGGGTTAGGGCACTCCAAGCACTCCAGGCACTGAATACAACTTCAAGCACAACCAAAACTGCGGTCAACGCGTCCTATGCTATTGCGGTATATATATCTATATACAAAGCCAACATGGTCGTTTCCCTCCAATCCTGTCACCCTGTCACCCTGTCACCCGCTCAGTGACGCTTGGGACGCGCCAGATGACGACGCATGGCATCCCGGCGCGTGGCGGCGGCTGAAATGGTGATGGTCTCCGAGATACCGGCGGTGCAGACCGTGCCCGCAGCCACACTCTGGGACGCATCCCATTCCCCGTTGACACAGCGCTGGAACGCAGTGCCCCCGTTGCAGTACCAGTAGCCCTCCTGGCTGCAGGCGCCACTCAAAACCCCAGAAGTCGTCGACGAATCCGCGCTCGAAGCCGCAGTGGCCACTGATGTTGTGGTCGTCGTGGCAGACTCACCAGAGGAAGTCTCAGTAGCCGAGTTGTTGACTGAAGCACCAGCCTTGACCTGACCGGGCTGGAAGCGGATGTCGCTGCCGGCAGTGGGCCGAGCAGGGTTCGCGGTAGTCGCGCTGGTCTCGGAAGGAGCTGAAGACTCGGTCGGAACAGCGTCCGCGGTGGTACTCACGGCGGCGGCAGCGGTGGTGGCCTCAGCGGTGGTGCCAGCAGAAGTAGTGGTGGTATCGGCAGCAGCGGCTGCGGTCGCAGTGCTACCAGCAGTGTACAGCGCGGGGCCGGGAATAGTATACGTGCTCAACGTGTTCCAGATGTCAACATAGATGCCGGGGTCGGTCTCCTTGTACAGAGCAGTGCCCAAGGTGCCACTCGGGGTTGCTGTCTCGCTGCCGGTGACTTCCAGATTGATGCACTGGGGGTAGTTCTGGGCTCCGTCCAGGTTCTCGGCGCTGTGCAGAGCAATGATCTCGTGTCGCAAAACATAGTACCCGGGGGCAATATCGCTGGGGATAGTGATGTTGCGACTATAGCTATCTTCAATGAGCTCATCGGTCGCCCAAGTTCCAGGCACGTCCGTGTCATCGATCAAGCCGCCAGCATCGATCTTGAAGAACTCGAGGGTGGTCTTGTCCACATCTGCGCAAGAACCGTGGCAATTGGCCATATACGTGATGACAGGGCCGTGATGGTCGGTGGGCCAGGTGTTCCAGGTCATCTGCACCCAGCCTCCGGGCGCGACAGGGGCCGACAACGCGCCGGGCGCAGACCCCTTGTGGCAGATGATGTTCACGCTCTCGTAGTCGGAGGGCGATACATAGCCATCATCCGTGGCATTTGTGGACCAGGCGATTAACTCGGGCGGGTCGGATTCGTAGTAATAAGTGTCGACCAAGTACCCTCCATAGGTGGTACCGTCCACCTCGATGCTCGAGACATACCCATGACCAGCGACCAGCGAGACCGAGCCCAGCAGAAGAGTGGCAATCTTGGAAAGAGACATAATGGCAGAAGCACCGCACAGCGGTGTGTTGTATAGAAAGTGGAAAGAAAGGAAGGGACTTCAATCAATGAAGCCCAGAAAGGAACGAAGGAGCGACTGAGGAAAGGAAAGACAGTTTGGCTGGATGGCCCTCCGATGCCAGAGGGAATCTGCGTCTACTTAAGCATGTGGAAGGCATGATGCCGGACTGGAGATGACGAGGGTCGACAAAGACTTGAGCATCATCCAAGCGAGATAGGCAAACCTTGTGCCTGGTGGCAACTGAGGAGAATGAACCAGTGGTTTGGGTTCTTGAGCAGCCGTGAAGGTTCAAGGCTGTCTAGTTTGTTTCACCATTTCTGAGACAGACCACACCCTTTCGTTACTTGACGCTGTGGTGGGCCTGCGGAAACACGCCATCAGAACGCCAGTGGCTTTAGCGAGATTAGAGGTGGGCCCTCGGTGTAGGCTGAATGGGCACTCACATGACAAGGCAGAAGAGTTGCGAAGTGGTGGGAAAATTGAGGGAGAAGGGGACAAGAATATTAAGATTATCTGGCAGGTTATCTGCGTTGACATTCAGAAAGCATGTGATACATCGTGATATCGATGTTGAAGTTGATGTTGATATGGAGTACCTGCGTAGATGAAGAGGAGAGAGAGGAAGGGGCACGTGATCGATAAAAGCCCGGAGCGGAAGAATCCCGTACCGCCCTATCACGTGCCATGCCTTCCCGCTCACCGCCAGACCATGCAATTTACAGAGCGCTCAGCTCAGTACGGAGTACTCCGTACTTAAACAAAGCTTCTTCCGCGTCCTCTGATCCTTGTCTGACAGGTAATATTGCTAGAGAGTGCTGTCATCTGCGGTCATTTTTGTCTGGACAGATCGAGTCTCGTTTGCGTTCGTGGCGTGTGGATACTTGCCCGCTATCTAGCACAGGCACCCACACTTCACTTACTGTGTGTGTGTGTATCTTTAGCATCCAAAAAGAATGTTTTCGAATTTCTCAAGAGAGAAAAGCAGAAATAGTACTCATCCATCCACCTTGACAATTTATTTGATGTCAGTAACAGAACGATATAGACCTCCTAGCTCTAGTCGATAGCCGGTCTGCGTTGAAAACAATGATGTCGTTTGTTGGTCGCATGTCATATTACCTTCGCGGTCCACGACTCGATGGAATTCATTTGGTCGTCATATGCTGGATCCAAAGCCTTACCAATACTCCTGGTCTCTCTGCCCCTCGGATTCATACCGATATCGATCAGGGTTGTTCCGAGAGAGCTTTATCCGATACGAAGATAATCCTGATAAGCGCCACAAATGACGGCGAATCGACTGCTATCTCCCCAGGAATGTTATCATGCGCGACGCGACGCCACCAGACTCGGAATGTACCGATCTCGCTATATGAACCCCAGACTGGGGCCCCTCAACCCCCTGACATGAAGTAGATCCGCTCATACCCTGCGACGGGCTGCGATGGAGGAATTCTCGCCGCGCCAGAAGTCATACTCTTCGGTAACAGCGAAAATGGGGAAGAGTGTTGAGTCCGCACAGGATCAGCACGATGTGGAGATCGGCGTGGTGGCAACCCTGGCTCATGAAGGGCCGGGCCTCAAGCGCAATTTCAACATGATCAGCATTATGGCCCTGGGGTTCAATACTTCCAACAGTTGGATTGCTATTGCAGGCAGTTTGCCCCTGGCTATTGCAGGAGGTGGTACGGTGACCTTACTGTACGGTATCTTGGTGGTGTGCTTTGCTATGTCCTGCACGGGGCTCAGCCTGGCTGAGCTAGCAGCCGTGTATCCATCGGCTGGTGGCCAATATTACTTCACTTCCATGCTGGCACCGGCCCAGCATCGCCGGTGGTTGTCCTACATGTGTGGAATCATCGGCATCTGGTCATGGGTGGCCATCGCCGCTTCGCTGTCATTGATGGTCACGGAGGGTATTATGGCTATGGTTCTCACCTATCACCCCACCTTCGTCCCACAATCCTGGCATTACTTTCTTATGTACCAAGCGGTGCACATCATTGCCATGGCATACAATGTTGGCTTGCTGTCCAAGACGGTTTGGGTCTATGACTGGGCCTGTAAGTATTTGACCCATTGCTCTTCGAAGGCAACATCTTAAAGGCGACAACAGTCTACTTCTCTCTGGCCCTCTTTGTTATCACCACAATCGTCTGCCCCGCACGGTCGGCCGTTCATGCAGACTCGGCCACCGTCTGGGGCCATTTCGTCAACTCTTCCAATGGATACTGGTCTAATGGGATTGTTTTCCTCACCGGTCTATCGACCCCGTCCTACATGCTCATCGGTTTGGACGCCACGATGCACATGGCAGACGAATGTCTTGCCCCAGCACGGACGATCCCGCGTGCCATCTTGTCGACAGTGGGCATTGGCTCTGTGGCTGCCTTTGCGTTTGCCTTGGCCATGTGCTACAGTGTGACCGACTTTGACAGCCTGGTTGATGCGGCCTCAGGGTAAGGCGAGATGCTTAATTCCGGAGTCTCTATGCTAAACTTCAACTTGGCAGGTTCCCAATCTATGATCTATGGGCACAGGCAAGCCGATCGACGACGTGTGCGACCGTCTTCCTCGTCGTGATGATTTCGATCATGTTTGTTTCTGCTTGCGCGATCCATTCCACTGCCTCGCGGCTGACCTGGTCGTTTGCGTGCGACAACGGAATCTTCCTCTCGGGGTACTTGAAGCAGCTGGACCACCGACAAGGCGTTCCTCTATACGCCCTAGGCCTCAATTTTATTGCCTGCTTCGTGATCGGATTCCTCTACCTAGCGTCTTCTTCCGGTAGGAAACCCTGAACATCGTCGTGGCCCACAAGCCGGGTAGTGAGCATGAGACTGACTCACCTGCTCTAGTCTTCAATGCGTTTGTCGGAACTGCCAGTATTCTGTCGCAAATTTCCGTGACGCTACCAATCGCATTGCTCATCTGGCAGCGTCGGTCGGAAGTCTACCTCCCTAGTGGGCGCCACTTCGGACTTTCGTCGGGACTGGGCTACTTTTGCAACATCGTGGCTGTGGTCTATACCATCATCATCACGATCTTTCTCTGTTTCCCCACTTCCTTCCCGCTTACGGGTGGCAATATGAGTAAGTTTCCCCGGGGTTCTTGTCCTCACTGGTCTGATTACTGACGTACATTGAACACTAGACTATACCGCTCCAGTCCTCGGGGTAATCGCAATCCTAACCGGGCTGAATTGGGTATTCTATGCGCGTGGTCGATACGAGGGCGCTCACGTGGGGTAGCGCTCGTCGCATCGGTGTACTTTTCCTAGATAACGAACTTATGACGCTGGCGTTGAATTCACTCGGAAAAGCTTGTGTGGTGCTTCTTGTTCCACTTAGATTGGGGAGGTTGGGCTTTCCCCGCCCGGGGTCCGAAATGTCCTTCGGAACGGTTCCTATCGACTACCGTGTCAGATAAGATAAGATTGAGGGGTGTGGGGTGCGTACCTATACGTATACTGCTATCATCGTAGACGGAGTCAGCCTCCAAGTCAGCACCAAATTCAACTACTTGGTCGACTGGACATAAGACTCACGCTCTGCCTGTCTTGGGACTCGAGTATATATTGGCTGTCCAAAGCGCGTCGTATTGTAACCTCTGGGTTCTGCAGACCGGTCAAGGATCGGGCTGAATGAATTGCTTCGATTATATCCTGGGAACTTTCCCTGGGCTAGAAGATCACACAAAGGGCAACGGCCGAGTCTACTGGACTATGAAGCTGAGACATCTGGGCTTCGCATTCTTGGCTCCATTTTATCATTTGGAATGAGCTAAATAAAAGGGTCGGGAGAGGCTCTTTCGTAGGTGGAGTATTTGTGAATAAGTTGGCCAGTACGCTAAGCTCCTCAAAGTCTCAGACATTCACCTATAACTGGAGCTATACGTTTTGGATCCATGATCTGATAAGGGCTTCTTAAATTCGGGTGTCAATCGGATTGTTTTCGGCAGGTCGGCTGCTGCCGGTTTGGAGCCCCGCAAAACCTGCAAATGACGGTCGCCGAAATATCCCCGTTCTCGGATCCGACAGCCCTGCCTTGGCCTGGCAATTGCAGCATTGCAGCATTGCAGTAAGATGCCCGATTATGCAATAGGGGCCGGATAGTAGTGATTTATTTGGTCTGACTCTTGTCTCCCTTTCTTCTTCCCCTCGTTTAGCATTCGGATCTCTTACCACCCAATCTCCCCTCAACCACGTCTATCCGTTCATTTTACCTGCCATTCAGACCGCGGCTCTTCGGCCAATAAACTATAGAAAGAACACATTCACTCCTTTATTCTCTGTTTTGCTCCATATACTGAAGGTATAGTCCTACCGCTGCTTCCAGCAATGCGAAAGCTCACTAACGCCTCGTGGCAGACACCATGCTCATCACCCGCGGATTCTCCCTAACGAACTTTGTCATCGCCAGCTCGGCCCTCTGCTTTCAAGTCTTCGTTCTTTATCCCTGGCACCACAAGCTCGAGGACGACTTCAAGGAGCTCAAGAAGGAACACTTGCGTCTGTTGCAGGAGAATGAGGATAGCCGGGTGAAAGAACTGAAGAGTATCAAGGAACACCTCGGTCTTCTCCATCAGAAGGCTCAAATGTGAGCGACATTGTGAGGCATAGTATGGGCACTTTCGGATGATTCATTTCATGCATTTCATCAGCGGGATAGAGATACACTGCTTGCATAGAGAAGGAAGCGGGATTGTATATACTGCGCGCAGGAATCGAACGTCTTCTTGCTCTTTTGCTCGGCAGAACACCTCCAGATGAATTCGCGTACAACATACAGTAACTCGGGATCCTTAACGGGTATGATCAACTGGCAAAGACCAATTGTGCCAGAACGATATCACATTCAAACAGGAAACACCATGATTGTCACATTCTGATTAGCTTGCTAACTTGGATAGGAATTTCAAATAGGTTTTCGCCTCGACACTACCCTCCAAGGTCTCAAGCCGATACATTGACAGCTGCATTGGCAGCTGCATTGGCAGGGCCCGTGACAGCCGCATTAGCAGCCGCCTCCAGAGCGTCCCTCGCAGTCTCCGTCACAGCTCTGTCGGCAGCCTCATTAGCAGCCCCGTTGAGGGCGCCTTTGAGACCTCTCACATTGCGATCCGCCCGCACAAACGCCTTATAGCTGGGAAACAGCCCCTGGGGGTCATATTTCTCCCGGACGTGCAGAAACTTCTGCAAAGCCGTGTCGGTGATTACCCGCGCCTGTACTTGTTGTAAGTATCACATAACAATCAGTGGGAGACAAACGTACGTTGACCTCCTCCCAGTTCGGATCCAGATCCACGACAAACATCCCCACGGCAACAGACAGAGCCCGCTCATACCGTTCTCGGATATGCTGGCGGAGACCGGACTCGCGCTTGGGGTCCGTCCAAATAGTCGCCGTCATCAGATACAGATCCTGGGGCAAGCTCATCACCATCTCCTTCTCGTCGGGCCGCTGGTCGCAGTGGTAGATATATACGTTGGATTGCCGGGTGGGCAGATCTAGCAGGGCGGGTTTCATGGTTTCCAGCAACTGACCTTTGTTAGTGCATACTCCGATTGAGCCCGTGAGAGAGAGCAGAAGAACAAGAATATAAGAAGACTGAAGGCCAACTCACCCGAGGTAGCGAGCAACCCGGATTGCTGAAGATACTATTGTTGTGGACGCGGGTGCCCGGCCCCGGACCGGCTTCTCCGGCGGCCAGGACTTCCTCGAAGGTGCACTTATGGACGGGCTGCTTGTCGAGCATAAAGTCCTGCACCTCGTCGACTTGGTCGTAGGCACCAAGCATGGTCTGCGCCTCAGCCTCTGTGTCGGCGTAGCAGTACAGCAGCAACGTGAGGTGCAAGCGGGCCCCGGGTGGCACTTCATCCCCGGTGGCGTCCGCATCGTCCTGCGCGTACGCAATGGCTATGTTCAGGTCTGTGTGCTCCTTGGGGGTGGCCCGACCGGCCTCAATGGCCCAGGTTAGCAGCGTCTCGTAGTTGTCGTGGTTGATCTCAAATTGCAGGGTCCGTTGCCAGGGAGTCTTAGCGGGGATGGTCTTGCCCCAGAACCGCGTCACAACCCCAAAGAAGCCCAGTCCGCTACCGCGTGCGGCCCAGAAGAGGTCGGGGTAGTGTTCGCGGTCTGCAAGGACCGTCTCCCCGTTGGGCAGGACGATCTCCATCCGGGTGACAAAGGTTGCGGCGGCACCAAGACTCCGCATGAAGAACCCTTGTCCGCCCCCGAGAAGATAGCCGGCCATGGCCACGGTCGGGGCATGGCCAATGGGAAAGAAGCGGTCGACTTCGCTCAGCTTCTCAGTTACCTCGCTAATGCGGCAGGACGGCCCAAAGGATATTTGCGCGGTGGCTTCGTCGTAGTCGACGCGTCGGTTGAGGTTGGTGGTGTCGATCAGGATGCCGTCTTGCACAAGATAAGGCGATTGCGCCGCGTGGCCCGATGACCGCACGCTCACGGTGGTTCCGAGCTTGGTGGCTCGACTCAGGGCTTTCTGTACGTCCGCTGGGCTCTCCACGAGATGGATCTCACGGGGATAGCGAGGGCCGGCCGCACTGGGGTTCATCTCGCGACATCGTTCGTACTCGGGGTCCCCACGGACAAGGACCTTCGAGGAGTACTCGGGGTGTGTGATGTATTCAGGTGGTGCCATTGTGTTGAAATTGATCGAAATTCGATGCAGTTGAGATTGTATGAGGACTCGGACAGTAGCAGAGCTGCAAAGTCATCTATATAGCTTCCCATCCCCATCTTTGACTCTTGACGTCACTGCATGCAGGTGGCTTGATGAAGAGTGGTCAAATCTTGATGTCTATACCAGACGCCATCAACTGGTCGGGAAGAGTATCCATGGTTGGCAGGTTGCGGCATGTGTAGCATGCAAGGGTGAAACTGAAAGCTGAAGAAACTCTGGGATGACCAGGGAAATGGTGCCTTGAACCTGGAAGATCTTCGTCTGACACCGTGCTGGGCAGCTCCTTTTGACTGTCTGGAATGTCAGAGGCGTGCATGACGGTATCATCGAGGTGTTGTATGACGAAGGATGATGGGTTACAGTACACAGCAGGCGCGGTGAGCAAGCAGTCAGTTGCTTTGCGTCGCGGCAAATTCCACTTTGCGATCAAACTATCGCTGTGCTTGTAGTCCTTGATGAGACAATCTCCTCTGCGTGCTGAACATCAGTCATTAGTTTAAGCTGCCGCAACCCTGTCAGTCAGTCTTGGATATTCTCGCCGGATATGACTTCACTTTGCGTCAAGCTCCTCTCAGACAGGGACAATATCGATGTTTGTGTGGTGTACAGGACAAACAGTTTGATTCTGCATGAGGGCAGAGATCTTAGTTGTCAATTAATTGAAAGATGAAAACAAATGCTCAGCGATAGTTCACCCGATGCTCATCGGCAGCATAAGTTAGGGCTTGCAACATTGAGGAGTGCCGATGTCGGATGCGACCGAGGCAATTCGATTCTCGTCCCTGATGTCAACCATGATCTTCTTCACCCAGTCGCGGCTCCACTTGGCGAAAAAGGCTGTATCAGTAGCCGAGTCTTTCCGTCACGCTTCCATCCAGAACCAAGGAATTATGACATGTCATAATTTCCATTGCGACCCTTGCTACTGGCTACTGGCTATTTGGCGGTGATGGCGAGCAAGCGACCGTCTCACGCAGTCCAGAGCTCCCCCGCAAGGCTTAATCCAATTTGGGATCGATGAAACCAGTCTTTGTCGGAAGTCAACCTTACTCTGATGTCATCTCTCCCTGCTGGCGTTTGCTAGAGGACGGGGGACCCGCTCGATGAAGCGGAAAGATGGTCACTGGCTAACGATCTTAATCTCAGACATCGATCTAGAATTGAGTCCTGGTTGATCTGTGTCGGCCAGCTCGAGGCAAGGACGCTGTCTTCGGTCTACCTATGACACTATTCGAGGGCTCGATCGAGTCTCGACAATTATCACATGGCTTCCCAGGTGACTGGATCGATGATAATGCAATGCAAGGGTTATCTTTGGCTGACAGTCTAGAATTCTTCTTTCTCGCGTTTTGCTTTTTCCTTTTTTTCTGCGCCCCGTCAGTCTTGAGCGAACTGCCACATGGTTGACTCGATCGGCATCAAGGGGCTCGTGAAGATGCGGACAGGTCATAATGCGTCGGAGGCCTGAGCGAGAGATATTCATTATCTGTTCATCCGTCTCGTATTTTGGATTCGATAGATATCTAAACTCAATTCGGATGTCTGATCGCTCCTTCACACCGTTGTCGGCCGGGAATGCTCGGCGAATGTAGCAGCTTTGCCGAAGCCGAACCTCCAACGCATAGAGACTTCAAACCGCGGTCGGCAGGAGGCAGTATCTTGAAACTAAATGTAAAGGAGTCTTCTGCGGAGTACTGCTTTTTCTACAAATGTACTGCCTCCGTGGAAACAGAAGAAAAGGGGGAGGACTAAGTCTTTTAGGTTTCCTTGCAAACTGCCCCGGGATGGAGATACGAGGGCGAATGCACAAGTCACAATTCACAATCGCCAACAGATGCAGTTCGGCAAACGGGCGCTCCACCTTCCAAGCCTCCCCTTCCCGGACTCATCCAGCGACTGCCGATCGAACCATGGGTCAAACACTTCTCGAAGCTCTAGTTCCCAACTAGTGCTACTGCTCGGACATGAGTGTGCCTGAGGAACTGGACCGGTCCGGCTCCGATGAACTTCGAAGTTTAATACAATAATACAGTAATAATATTATAATTGACTGTGTTAAGAAGGACTCCATCTAAGAGGGGTGGACTCTCACACAGCGGTGCAGTGGAAACTAAGCTCGTTAGGGCACGCCCCGGCGTGTCGAGTTGCTGGGGACTTTGGAGGACGTTCAACCTGTCGGCGATAAATCCCGGCCATAAAAATTCTTTGTTCCACCACGCCGCATCCACTCCTTGCTATAAACGATTCGACAAGTGTCAAAGGGGATGCAATGATGCATCGCAATGGGGACTGGAAGGAGCGGTAAGATTAGAAAAGGAGAAGAAATGGCGACGATGAAGTGGGTCTCTTTCCCCCTTCTCCCCCGTGAGGAGCCACCAAACCTCACCAAGCCCGATCCTGCAGATCCACTTCCCAACCATTGCCGGACACAAATCTGGTGAGTGACAGATGTCAGAAGTCAAATTCACGGCATAAATGCAGTGGATTTCATGGGTGACCGTTTAATATTTCCCAAATCGCCGCCTTCATCACCCTATTTGGGACAGGCTGTTGGTGGTAGCCTGACACCAAGTGGATTTGCCCGGGGATTCACTTACACATCACATTTGCCATGCTCCGCTCACTACGGAGTACACTACTGCACGACAAAAAAAGAAATGATGAAGAGAATTGAAGAGGACGGAGGACTGAAGAAAATGGCAAAAGAAGACGAAAATCTCGATTTCGGGGTGGTCCCGTTCATCGTAAATAGCAGATCGATCGCCCCCTTCTCGATGGCACGCCTCGTAGTCAACTTGCTGTTTAAAGTCGGCCTGTCTGTCTTTCTTTGCTTTTCCTCCGATTAGACTGTCGATTTGCTGGTACTATTGATTGCAAGCAAGAACCCTAATTCCCCATCTACACATCCAACCATGGTTCTTCAAGGAAAATCATCCAACGTCCCCCGGCATGTTGATCGGAAGGCCCTCTATACCGATCTTGGGGCACGAGTCCACTACTTGCAGCAATTTCTAGAGTTCAGTGAGGGTCAGTGCTGTCTGGGTCCAATTGCCAATTGAGTGGTCCTCCGTGACTAACGAAGATTTCGAATAGATGATGTCGCCGCTCTCAACAAGGGATCCAAGTACATCAAGGCGCTGGCGCCTACCCTGGTCGACAAAGTATATGCGAAGCTCCTCGAGAACGACATCACAGCTCGCGTCTTCCGCACCCGCGACACATCCCTGGAGGATGAGGAGGAAACCACCTATCCCACCTTCGACAGCGCCTACATCCAACGCCGCCGGATGTTCCTGCGCTGGTACATGACCAAGCTCTGCTCGGACCCTACCAAGCCGGAATTCTATGAGTACTTGAACAAAGTCGGGTAGGTTAATCTGTCCCCACGGTTATCTGGCCCCTCGAAAACTTTGCTAACTCCTATATCAGGCGTATGCACATTGGCAAAGACCGCATGCTCGCCTTCCACGTCGAATACATCCACATCGGCGTGTGTCTCGGGTACATCCAGGATATCATCCTCGAGGCAGTCTTCAGTCACCCACAGCTCACGCTCGTCTTCAAGTTGGCGCTGGTCAAGGCATTGAGCAAGGTGATCTGGATCCAGAATGATCTCTTCGCCCGCTGGCAGGTCCGCGACGGCGAGGAGTTCGCGGAGGACGAGACTGAGTCGGTTCACGAAAATAAGGAGCAGCATCACGATGATTCGGCCTCGTACATCACTCGCTCCAACACCCAGCTCTCCGAGGCCCCGAGTAGTATCTTCTCCGATACCCGGTCAGTTGACACGACCACCAGCCATTTCACGGCCACAATGCACGCCCCAAGTTCATCGCACTCCTCGCACTCGGCCTGTCCGTTCTCGGGCGGATTCAAGCAGTCCTTCGAAACGAAGGTCTGGTCAGGGCCAGACGGGAAAAGAGGTCACTGACCGACCTCCGTTGTGGTATTAATGAATTTCCTTTTTGGCTTAGGTATAGGTATATAGGTATGTAGGGATTAGAGGTGTAGGAACATATGGGATACTTGGGAGGGTTGTGGGGGTGTCGGGATCTGGGAAAAGACTTGGGTTTGGTGTTTGGTCTGGTTGATTGCTTGATATGCTGCTTTTGATTCCCCTGGCTCTGCAGAATTGAATGGTTGTTTGTCTTTTACAGTGAAAAATTAAATGTACCTTGTCAAGTTGGAATAGTATTACGTACTTGGTTCCAGACGTTGACCGGGGCGCCTTGCGCCGGCATCGGAATCAATATATATTATCCACTTTTTGTATTGTTATCCACCGTAACATAGACTAGAGGTTTACCACAGTGTTGCCAGAGCCATATATCCTTGCATAAATTCGGTACACTGTTACGGTATACTTAACAGAAGGCAAGACAATTGTGGCAGCGGATTGAAAGAGAAAGTGTCCAGGTCGACTCTTCAATGGAAGTTATCACCATGGACCGGGCTATTGCTCTATAAGACCCGATGAAGGGTCATGCCACTAATTGTTCGCCTGCTGTGCCCCGACAAAGCTGAGATAGCTACGGATAGCCCCGAGCTTGCTATCAACTTGGAAGGATAAGACTAAACACCTGGGAGTAACCCTGTAGTGCCGGTCACCAGAAGACCATTCGTCGAATTCGCCTACGACCTACTCCCAACCCCCCTCGCCCCCCCTCTACAGTCAAGCATATTCTACCCTCTTATAGCCACGAAATCCAAGCATTGGATCCGACCAAGTCGTGTGCCAAAGTGCCCGTGATAAATTGGGGGATGTATGCAAGCGTGGGTGGATCGGGTCGGCAAACGGCCGGTCGGACTTTCCAGGGCGGAGAGCCCTTGGAGGCCTTCAAACGTAAGGCTGCTCGAGGAAATAAAGACGGCGCTTTCCGATTGAAAGAGACAGGTTACTTCTGCTTCGATCATGTTCGTCTCAAAGCTCCGTTTGCTTTGCAACGAGCGGATCTCGTTTAAGTTGGAACTTGGTGGAGGGTCGGAGGAACTTGAAAGTTGGTGATGGGATTGATCTAGAGCATCCGCACAGGGGGAATAGGAACGAGACGACCTAGAAATTAGCATTTGAAAGTAATAAAGCGCTGTCCGCTCGTAAGAGCATCCCAGGGTTGGGTGGAGGAGGAAATGAGAGCCCCAAGTGTCATGGCACAAGCCTCATTGTAACTCTGTCGGTGCGTGGTTCGAGTAAGAGAGTAGAGCTTCTACCTGTTCAGGTGACAAGAAGAGAAGCAATGAGCTTGGTTACACCGAGAATGGTGAAGGGTTTGTCGTCTCGAGTATTAGAGGGATTAGTGTTGAGTGGTTGGTTGTGGGTGGGAGCAGAGAAATGGCTGCGATCGAAAGCCCGACCGTGGAGGTCACGTGCATCAATATGTTGTTGCCTTTCTGCCTTGCTGCCTTGCTGCCATGCTGCCTGCCGCCCGGGTGCCCGTCACTACTTAAGGCCGACGGGCCAGGAGGCAACAGTGCCTCAACGCATTGGTACTGAAGTCAAGACGCGGTTGCTAGGGATAGCATAACAGCTTTGATGCTCCACGACTGCAGAGCGATGCTTAACTTGTTTAGATAAGGTATGGAGTATATCGACGTTGCCAAGGTTTGTCTATGAGATGTTTGGGAAGGAGGTCATGCTGGACGGTGCGTATCATTGTCACGAAGACGTCTGGGAGTTAGAGGTAACGGTTGGTTGGGATCACGAAGTGCAAGCGCCGGTGGACAAAGGGCTTAATCAGATCGCATCTATCCCGGGAGGTAGAGGGATCATGGGAGGGGGTTGTGAAGGGGTCGCAGATGTTAAGAAAGAGGGAGGTTCGGAGGAGAAAGATTGGTGGTCCGTTTGTGTGATTAAACACCAAGTTTGATTCTCTCTGTTCCAGGGGCGTAGTTACATGACTGAAGGCTTTATCTGCTCTATCTTCGCAGGGTGGAGACGGCCTTGTACAGTAAATACTTACATTTCTGGCAAGTCTATACGGGGGGTTTTCCCCGCAGGTTTCTTTGGATTTGTAACGTTTCTTTTCTATTGTTAACGTTTCTGTGACTATCTGTTGGAAGATTATGGCTCCGGCCGTTTTTTTTGTTTTTCTATTTAACGGCTTAACAGGCGAGATGTTCAAGTGAGGGGCGGCTTTATTCGAACACGGTGCTCTGAACAAGGAGGATGAACAAGGAAAGAACCACCCAAATCTACACTACACCTATGAATGGCTACCTACGAGTACTACCATACTGCTTGACGTGATCAACATGCTGGTAACAGAATTGTGCTAGGAGACACCCGAGCCTGTCCAATAGGCCGAGTACCACGGTTTCAGTGCGAGCAGCGAGGGGTGATGATGGTCCTCCTACCCGTTCGATTCAATGATATCCGCAGAAAGAAAGAACCAGAAGTTGTTCAGAAGGAGGTTCCTCAACTTGGTACCGTGCAGAACTGAGCGCACGGTCGAGTAGCCATCCTCATCTTGCCAGGGACTCGGGGAGAACCATATCAGCTTGTCAACGTGTCTGCCTCGCGTTCGAAATCCTTGGCGTGGAACACAGGACCGCGGAAGGTATCCTGGCCAGAGTATGAGGGAATACTTGGTAAAGAGGAGAGGCTGGGGGCCAGTATCAGTCGTTGAGTTTCAATTGTCGTGGTGGAGTTGAATGGGTCGTTCGAACAGGCAACATGAAGTCTCCACCCATCATCTTCTGAGCGTGGCTGCACTGCGATCACCCGTGTGTGGAATTGAATTCGATCAAAGACTTCAAAGTGTTTGGCGTAGTCAGTCAAATACCGATGTAAAGTGGCCGCGGGGATGTGGCTGTCGGCCTTGACCCCATAGACGCCTTCCGACATGGGAAAGTCGAGGTATTCGTAAGAGCCCACCATGTTATTCGACTTGACTCCAGGACAGAGTCTTTCCTGTCCCCATGTACCTCCACACGAGCCAGCTGATTCGAGGACTACAATGTGGTCCTGAGGATGCAGCTGAATGTAGTGCTTCGCAGCAGACAAACCAAACCATCCGAAACAATACAACCAGGAGTTAGCAAATTCGGAACTTGATCCTCCGTCATAGGTGGAGATGGTGACATAGAGAGGCCTACCTGTCCCAACGACAATGATGTCGATTTCTAGAGTTGTTCTAGTCATCTTGTTGGATGTCGATGAGGTGAGCTCCGAAAAGTAACGCTTTGCAATGTCCGCGGCTTTCTTAGGGCTTCCGCATTCCGATTCACTAATTCACTATCCACCCCCTCACTCACATTGTCAATTCCGATAGTCTAGCCCGTCAGCAATGGCAGCATTGTGGCCACACAACATAGCTCAGCTTGAGACAAAACCCTTGTTCCGTGCTCCGCCTGAACCCTCAGGAACTTCCCAACTACTCCCTGCCTCGCCAAGCTACGTTACAGTCATGTCTCAGCAGCAACCCAAATACACCACGGCGCCTAACTATGGCAGTCAGAAAGCCCTTCACCGTGGTTCACCGGCGTACGAACGATGCCGGTGCATGAACCCAACCGCCGAGACCCTAGCTCGCTATCCTCGCGAGATCCATTTGGTGGAAACCGCTGCCGATGTGGCTGCGGGTTCAAGCGGGCTTCTGAGCTGAGAACAACCGTGGAGATTCGATCATCGGGTCATACCATGGACCTAGGCAACCTCATCCCAGACGGCATCCTGATTGACACTGTCAAGCTCAACCGCCACGTTGACTACAACCCCGTGACCCGTGAGATCTGCTTTGGACCTTCTTCTCGCGTGGAGGAATTGGCCGCGACACTGGGATCGGTCCAACGGTTTTCCCGCACGGACATGCACCAACAGTCGGGTCAGGCAGGTTAATACTCGCTGGGGGGCCAAGGATGGTTTGTCCGTGGCTGGGGGGGCAACCAGCCAGACTTGGATCGAGCGTTTTGAGGTCGTCCCCGATGGGCGCGTCCTCATCGCCAGTCGGACTGAGAATTGAGACCTCTTCTGGGCAGTCCGTGGCTCAGGCTTGGGGTTCTTTGGCATTATCACGCGTTTCTGGGGACGGACCATCCGTGCCTCCAAGATGTGGGAACGCACGTTCAAATTTGAGATCGACGATCACAGCTATGAATTCCTAATGACCTGGACCATCGAGCGAGGTCGCCATACTCCCAAGTACAGAACCGATCTCAATATCACGATTGACTACCCGGAAAAGTACGATCCCCAAGACGACTCCGACGAGATCCCGGCGGGCGCGAAATTACATCTCAACCTCAATCTTTTATGCTATACTGACACCGTTCTCGAAGCCCGGACGCTGGTGAGTGCGTGAGATGCGATTCCCGACGCTGTGTGACAGTATATCACCGAGATTGATATGAACAACGAGACTGCCAATGTACGTTTTGTCTGGCCTTAGCCTGCCTAGCTACAGAAACTGACCACTACACACAGACTCGGGTTCTGAGTGATACCGCGCTCGCAAGATTCCTTAAGATCAGCGAGAAGTACGACCCACAAGGGCTTTTTCCGAACCACAGGGCCATTGTTAGAACTCACGCAAAGATGGATACGCTAGACAGCCGTGCGGCTTTGAGGGGGTGGATTGGTCTTCTGTTACCATCGACCATTTGTTTCCTCCAATGCTGCAGAGTCGATGGTTTGCTGAAAAGCGTATCGGGGTTCAAAGTCTGACTGATTTGGTGCTTGGCCATTAGTCCCGACATACCACACACTAGGTCATCGTGCGCTTGCCTCCAGTGCCAATGAAGAAGAAGTCGGCCCCGATGTGCTATGCAGACAACCATTGTAATGTAGCCCACTTCATTAGTATGCGAAATAGTGCGATCTATGAAAGCAACGCGCATTGCGCATTACCTATCTTGCCTATTGATCAAAGAGTAGACCAAGTCATTTTTAAGAATCCTGGCATCATGATTTACTAACGTGGAAGGTTGATGATTGGGCGTAAGATTCCCGTATGGGGCGCTGCTCTTTAAACACAACTCGCGGCTCTTCCAAGTATTCCCGCACCTTATACTCGAAAAGCTGATTCGAAGGGACCGCCGTGTGATCTCGCAATTTCCCCGCCGTGCCTATCCCACACACTGGCACGCGGTACTCAACCCTCCGACCATCTGGCAAAGGACATGGGAAGGGCATATAATCCGGTATAAGCCCGAGTTGTGCGAGCACGGTGCCTTGATCCCATGGAATGTGTTCGTGGTACAGTTAATCCCCACGGATATTCACCACCGCCTGGAAGGGGATTGCAGCGCGTTTGTGCGTTGGGAACACTCTGGGCAGACTGCGTCCTGAAGATTAGTGTTCGGTATTAGAGGAGATGTAGTGGACCTGGGATTGGAGACGTAATGGGGTCAGAAAGTTGAATTGAACGACTTACAGCCAATCCAGCTCCCGGTCATGGCTGAAGAAGGTGTGCTCGTCCCAGATGGTCTCCAAATCATAGTATAGGCCTGCCATCAAAGGCTTTAAGCAAGACAGACTGCGAGTATAAGAAATGGACTCCGGGCCATACGGAAAGTCGTCGGTGAAGGGCGTGGCAAATAAAAAGGATTTGGCGGTGGGGTAGCAATACTCCGAGGAGGGCTGGCTGGTCTGGCGGCTCTGAGTCTTGGGTCTTGTGCCCGACAAGGTGGCAGAGAATCGGCTGAGCGGCCGGAGTACAGGCCCTTGGGTGTCTAGCCCCAGCCTCTCCATATATCACAGTCGCGACGATGCTCGAGAGGCCAGGGATGATGGTGGCTACGGAAATCCACAGTTGAGGGTCGTACACTCTGTCCCTGGATCAGGAGTCGACCTCCTTGTTTCACGGAAGGGGAGATCGAGATGCCGATTAAGCCTATCTTTCCGATGTCAGAGTCCTTGCTAGCTGCCAAAGCGTCCAAGGCGATGGTAATGCATCGTGATCACCACCACCAGCCAAAGCTTGTTCTTGGACTTCAACAACCGAATATCCTTCCTCCGCCCATTTGATCAGGGGTGATGGGACTCCGTCGATGATGTGCAGCGAGTGATCAGTGTTGGGCTCCGGGCACCAGAAGAATTCACCCTGGGCCATGTCCTCTCCGCGACAAAGGCAGCAAGAACGAGATCCCTGGGCCGAGTCGAGTGAGGTTGATGCTGGGAGAGGAGCAGGCGGTTTGCTGATATATCAATCATCCATCTTGATGTTGAGGTGTAGCAGATGTCGTCGAGCAGGGCACTCAGAGTCCAAGAAATGGACTTTTTGCAAGACCGATTCCACAAGTCGGACATCCTATCGAATCGACATAGTCGAGGGGGCAGGGCCGTTGCTGGTCTAGACGGAAAAGCGGCGTCGGAATGTTCCGATCGGGATGTGAGTTCTGGCGTGACGGTGGATGAATTCCTACCGCTTCATCGTTCCGATACCATCATCGATGGGTGTGTAGTCAGAGATGCGAACGGAGATGTTGAGATCGAGAAAGTGGGTGGGAGGAGCGGATTGCGAAGCTGCCGAGGACAGGACTTGACTGAGTGGGCGCGCAGTGACAACGGGGTCTTAGGTTTGGGATTGTGAATGAAATGGAACAACCGCTTCGGGTTTCCAAGATTAGGTAACAAGCAGCGTGAGGGGAGTGGAAGTAGGGATCAACAGAAGCCGTGGTAGTAGTTAAAGTTAAGGTTATATAGATAGATAAGTGATGGTTGGTAGTCGTGGTGGTGGTGGTGGTGGTTGTTGTTGTTTGTACTGTTTAACTTATTGGACCTATTGGAATTGTTTGTACTGTTTGAGCTATTTGAGTTGTTTATCGGGCGGGATTGTTCCAGGGTCACGGGATTAATGCACGGGAAAGCTGACTCATCTGCTTGCCCTCTGCATAACTACCTCTTTCATAATCCAACCCAATGCTGCAAGCTTCCTCATCAACTCATCCGGTATATGAAATCACGCAACTGCGTTAACAACCATTGCGACCATTGCACCCCGCACGCTTATATTAATCCTGCAGGCACTTTATCTGCAGGAGCCGGTGGATGGCACCCTGTACTCCGCCCCTAAAATATTGGCAAATATTGGCTTCAATGCCCCCCGGGTTGGCACGCCATTGCCAAGGTGTTCAGCACCGACCGGGTCACCAACGGGCTGCAATGCTTTTCTACATCTCTCATCTTCATGTCCTCAGAACCAGCTTGCGACAGAGTTGGAACTCCGCGTATAGTCCCTTGGTCGAACGGAGACATGGCGAGTACGCCGTTGAGATGCGCAAGCATCATTTTCAGGGACGTCGGGGTCAAACCTCGCGTCAATGGCGCAATGGATGTGGTGATGATGTTGAAGGAGATGAAGTGCGCCAAAATCTGCGCTAGGGCGAGTGCCAAGACCCTGCATGGACAGTCTTCACAGTCTTCAGCCTGCAGGACTCTTCAGGGCACCGCTGGTCCACCGGAGTCCGATGCATGTCGACATCTTCTCCCGCATCGTTGCGATCACGAATGTTCTCAACTTCTACTCAAGGCTCATCGTGCGATGGCCAGGATACAATGAGGTGAAATGATGCGATGAGGGTGTCTCCGAGGATGAGCGTGAGGATGGAGGATGGAGGGCTCGTTCTGAGAAGCATAAATACTTCGTGAATTGCCCTCCCCAATGCTTTTCCTCCATCATCATCAGCCAGCTCTCTGCTCCATCGCGAATATCTCTAGCTTCAATACTCCAACTTCTTCAATTGCTCACTTCAAGTCACTATCCAATCCATCAAAATGAAGTTCACCGCCGCTATTGCTGCTAGCATCCTCGCTGGTACCGTTGCTGCCATCCCCAACCGCGGTCTCGAAGCTCGTGTCAAGGCTCGCGCTTCTGGCACTCGCGGCTCTCGCCCTCTCGAGGCTGTCAACCGCCCCGCGACGGTCAAGAACCAGACCAACGTGGAGTACAGCTCAAACTGGTCTGGTGCCGTCCTGGAGAGCCCCCCCTCAGCTTCTGCGACCTACACGGCTGTGACTGGTACCTTTACTGTCCCCGAACCCACCGGCACCGGTAGCGGCGCTGCCTCCGCCTGGGTGGGCATTGACGGTGACACCTACGGCAACGCCATTCTTCAGACCGGTATCGACTTCACCCTCACCAATGGCCGCGCTTCCTATGATGCCTGGTACGAGTGGTATCCCGACTACGCCTACGACTTCAGCGGCAGCATCGACATCTCTGCCGGTGATGTGATCGTCGCCATCGTTGAGTCGTCCTCTTCTACCAGCGGGACTGCTATCATTGAGAACAAGAGCACTGGCCAGACTGTGACCAAGAAGCTGTCTGCTCCTTACTCCAGTGCCAAGCTCGGTGGTCAGAATGCTGAGTGGATCGTGGAAGGTAAGTCTGTGTCGGAGTGGTAATTTGACTAGCATCATTATCGCCTGTACTAATCCTGTGTACAGACTTCGAGGAGAATGGCTCCCTGGTTAACTTGGTCGACTTCGGCACCGTGACCTTCACCGGCGCCGTTGCCCAGGCTGCTGGCGGCGAGAGCGTCGGCCTCGATGACGCCACCGTCATTGAGATTGAGCAGTCCGGCAAGGTCGTGACTGATGTCACTATTAACAGCGACTCCTCGGTTACTATCTCCTACGTCTAAGTCATCTCAGTGACTTTCGTTGATGGAGCACATGGCAGGAGGTGAACCTGGATGTGCGAGCGCAGTTTGCGGAGGACATGGGCAGCAGGTTCTGCAGTGCTGGGGATGGTGAAGCGGGTTTCAAGAAAGGCAACTGGTGGCTCTTTAGATATGGGCGTGGCGGCTTCCGTCCGCAAGTGTATCTTTGCAGGTCAATATGAGACACGATAGCTTCCTGATTGTTGCGCATGTAAATTTGTTGCCCTAGTAGTGCTGATGGTCAGTAAGTTCACGACTGTAGGAGGAATTCTTATGGGAGAGCCATACATAAAGAAGCTGGACCTTGTTGTTGCTATAATTGGAGGTGGTAAAGGCCCCTGCGGCGGGAGTAGCCGCGGTCACCAAGACTGCAAGACTGAAGATACATATGTGTGGTACCTCACTACATTTTCATTTGTTACGGTGATCTATAATGCGACGACCCTTGCAAGGGGTCTGCCTCTCGACAGCTGGCAACGAATCGCCCACTACCAAGCAATCCATCCACAAACAACTCAGAGGGGGAGTGCCCTCAACAGCCACGACCGTCATACCCGACTAAATTATGCTACACTTCCTTCACATGGGGTAATGTCGAAATCCCTGGACGGGAATGGGTCCGTGCGTCAGGTACAGACTCCCCCAACCAGGAAATGCTCGTCTCGTCTATTGTTCCCGGCTATGAAGCATGACGTGGGCGTAAAAACAGCGAGGATGAAGGAATGATTACGTCGTGGGCACCGGGTCGCTGGGCCGGAGCCGGATCGGGTCTTGGCCAGATTGAAATGGTCCCAATGCGGTTTAGCGCACGATGACTCTGGGCGTGCGTCATCTTGACGGGGTCTTGACGGGTGCGGAATGGCTGCATTCCCCCCAGTAATTTATAGTCCGAGGAATCTCCCCCCGGTTGCGGTGTTCACTCAGTCCATTATAAAAACACGAATCTATCCAGCATCAACCATCAATTAACTTCCATATCCTCAACTGTCTGCTCTCACCCTTCTTCCCACAACATATTCTCTCACACATTCCCTCACAACCACCCATCATGATGAACCGCACACCCAGAGTCGCGACCCGCTGCCTCAGACAGCAACGCACCAACCCCCTGAAGAACCGTTACTTCAACGCCCGCTTCCAGTCCTCTTCCGCAGAATCTAGCTCCAGCGGTAGCAGCAGCAGCAACCCCGCCCTGGTTGGCGGTCTGGCTGGTGGTGCGGTCACTCTCGTGGCCGGATATGCCTGGTACCACTTCTCCGGCGCCCGCACGGTGGTCAAGACAGTCAAGCAGACCCAGCACTACGCCGACCAGGTGAAGCAGGGAATCGTTCAGAATGTACCCGAGCCCGACAGGGCCTTCGACTGGCTCCGCGACACCGTGAAGAGCTACGCCGGCTTCATCCCGGGAGCGCGCAAGTACATCGATACCGCATTCGACGACCTCGAGAAGATCAAGCAGAAGCATGGCAGCGAGTTCGACGCGATCGTTCGCGACGCCTACTCGGAGATCAAGGCCGTGACCAAGAAGGGCGGCTCCAATGCGGATACCGCCTTCGAAGCCCTGCGCGTGCTGCAGAAACACCTCGGTCGCTTGGCCGAGCTGTCCGGTGACGCGGCGGAGGATATCCTCGACAACCACCCCTGGCTGCAGGAGAAGGTCGGTGGCAGCTGGGACCAGCTGAAGCAGATGGGCGACGCGTACGGCCCGCAGGCCAAGGAGGAGGTCAACAAGACCTGGGAGCAGGTCTCCAGCATTGCCAAGGAGGGATTCAGCGTGCAGTCGGCGGAGAAGGTGCGCCAATTGGTCCAGGAGAAAAAGGAGAAGCTGCAGAAGCTTGGCGATGAGGCGTGGCAGAAGGGCCTCGAGGAGAGCAAGCAGTACCTGGAGAAGAACCCCCAGCTGAAGGAGCTGGTGGAGAACAACGCCGATGCGCTGAAGCAGGGCAACTTCGGCGAGCTGTGGGGTCTGGTCAAGGACTCGGCCTCCTCCGGCAAGACGGAGCAGGTGGAGAAGTTCGTCAAGGACAAGGTCGATCAGGCCAAGAACAGCAGCTCCTTCGACCTGGACAAGTGGACTAAGATGGTCCCTGGCGGATCGGACATCCTGAACCAGCTGCAGTCGCTGCGCACGGTGGGCGAGAAGAAGGGCAAGGAGGCGGAGGGAGTGCTCAAGGAGACGGTCGAGGAGCTGCAGCAGGTGTTGAAGAAGCGAAAGGACCAGATCGAGAAGCTGGCGAGTGAGGCCAAAGAGGAGAGCAAGTAGAGGGGTTCGAGATGTTTAGGTGAGCGGGAGCATCACCCGGTGTATTTTAGAGTTATGTGTATCATATACCCACCCAATGCCATATCTTATGATTCATGATTGTGCCTTGAGTAGTCTAGAGTAGTGTAATTAGTAACCACTCCGCCTATCTGATCTGATCTGATCTGATCTGATATAATCCAGTACCATACCTCAGGTTTATACCGCATGTATCCCACTCAGTCTGGACAGGGATTCTCACTCAGCGGGATGACTAACCACGGATTAGTCAAGGGGAGTCTGGGCCCTTTGGTGTTACGAAGCCAGTGGCCCATCAGCCACTTAGGGCTGGCCAGTTGGCCGAGGGAATCCATGGTTTGCGGGGTCAAATCAGGTCAGCAGACGGCCTATTCCCTCCACAGTGAGCAGTGATGATGTCGACAACCAGTGGTGAAATGAGGATTATTCACCACAGTCACCATATCCGCCGTCAATGCCGATGATCCCCCGCTTTCTGCTTAAATCCCCACCACGTGTCTGGCCCTTTGTGGTCAGTCAGCAAATGAAGGGCGAGGCAGTTGTCCATTACTCATGCCGTCTTGGCCAGCCGGGCTGTCTTACCCAGCCTGCATTCACTGGGAGGGTATAAGTACAGGTATACAGTGCGGGGCCGGGTTTCTTCCCCTCTTTTCTGATTTCTATTCCTCCTTCCTCTCATCTTCATCTCCATCTCCATCTTCATCTTGAGTATCATCCTTTTTCTTGATCATCATCACCACCATCATTGCATTATTGCATTCCAGCATCCTCCTCCTCAGATCTCTGACTGAGCAACTTCTTCCCTCTCAAATACCCTAACACCCACCATCATGGGCGAGTCCAAGTGTCCCTACAAGGCCCAGGCCAATGTGGCCGGCGGGGGCACGCGTAACACCGACTGGTGGCCCGAGCAGCTGAAGCTCAACATCCTCCGCCAGCACACCTCCACCACCAACCCATTGAAGGCCGACTTTGATTATGCTGCTGCCTTCCAGAGCCTGGATTACTTCGCTCTCAAGAAAGACCTCCATGCCCTGATGACCGACTCCCAGGACTGGTGGCCTGCCGACTTCGGCCACTACGGGGGTCTCTTCATCCGCATGGCCTGGCACAGTGCTGGCACTTATCGGGTCTTTGACGGCCGTGGCGGTGGAGGGCAGGGTCAGCAGCGGTTTGCCCCCCTCAACAGCTGGCCCGACAACGTGAGTCTAGACAAGGCTCGTCGGCTCCTGTGGCCGATCAAGCAGAAGTACGGCGACAAGATCTCCTGGGCCGATTTGCTGCTGCTGACGGGCAATGTGGCCCTCGAGTCCATGGGCTTCAAGACCTTTGGGTTCTCGGGTGGCCGCCCGGACACCTTCGAGGCCGATGAGTCGGTCTATTGGGGTGGGGAGACAACCTGGCTGGGCAACGATGTCCGGTACTCCGATGGCAAGCCCGGTGTGGCGGCGGAGGGAGTGGTCGACAGCGATCAATCCCCCCACCGCGACATTCACAAGCGAGACCTGGAGAAGCCCTTGGCGTCGGCGCACATGGGTCTCATCTATGTCAACCCCGAAGGTCCGGATGGCAATCCCGACCCCGTGGCTGCGGCTCGGGACATCCGCGTCACCTTCAGTCGCATGGGAATGAACGACGAAGAGACGGTCGCCCTCATCGCTGGCGGCCACAGCTTCGGCAAGACCCACGGGGCTGCCCCGTCCAGCAATGTAGAGGCAGAGCCTGAAGGCGCGGGCCTTGAGTCGCAGGGACTCGGCTGGAAGAACAACCACCAGTCCGGCAAAGGCCCCGACACCATCACCAGTGGCCTGGAGGTGATCTGGACCAAGACTCCCACCAAGTGGAGCAACGACTACCTGGAGTATCTGTTCCGCTATGACTGGGAGCTCACCAAGAGTCCCGCAGGGGCTCACCAGTATGTGGCCAAGGACTCCGAGGCCATTATCCCGGACGCCTACGATTCCTCCAAGCGCCACCGGCCGACTATGCTCACCACCGATCTCTCCCTCCGCTATGACCCTACCTACGAGAAGATCTCGCGTCGTTTCCTCGAGAACCCCGATCAGCTGGCCGATGCCTTCTCCCGCGCCTGGTTCAAGCTTCTCCACCGCGACATGGGCCCCCGCACTCGGTACATCGGACCTGAGGTCCCCACCGAGGAGTTGATCTGGCAGGATCCCATCCCTGCCGTCAACCATCCTCTCATTGATGCCAACGATATCGCCTCCCTCAAGCGCACCATCCTGGAGAAGAGTGGCGTCGACCGGTCGAAGCTGGTGTCGACGGCGTGGGCGTCCGCCTCGACCTTCCGGGCCAGCGACAAGCGCGGCGGTGCCAACGGCGCCCGCATTCGCCTGCAGCCCCAGCGGGATTGGGAGGTGAACCGTCAGCCCGGGTTGCAGGAGACCCTGACCGCTCTAGAATCCATTCAGAAGGAGTTCAACGGCTCTGCTTCCAACGGAAAGAAGGTCTCCCTGGCCGATCTGATCGTGCTGGCTGGCAGTGCGGCTGTCGAGCAGGCGGCTCGTGAGGCTGGCCACAACATCCAAGTCCCCTTCATCCCCGGTCGGGCGGATGCCTCGCAGGAGCAGACTGACGTCGAATCTTTCAGTCATCTGGAGCCGGTGGCCGATGGCTTTCGCAACTACGGTCGCTCGACCCCTCGCGTGCGCACGGAGCAGTTCCTCGTGGACAGGGCTCATCTCCTCAGTCTGTCTGCGCCGGAACTGGCCGTCCTGGTCGGGGGTCTGCGCGTGCTGAACGCGAACTACGATGGATCGTCTCACGGGGTCTTCACCTCCCGACCGGGGCAGTTGACGAACGACTTCTTCGTCAATCTGTTGGATATGAGCACGGACTGGAAGGCGACCGATGCCAGTCGGGAATTGTACGAGGGCACAGACCGTAAGACCGGCCAGCGCAAGTGGACGGCCACGCGCGCGGACCTGGTCTTCGGCTCGCATGCCGAGCTGCGGGCGATCGCCGAAGTTTATGGGAGTGTCGATGGTCCAGCTCGATTTGTCAAGGACTTTGTGGCCGCTTGGGACAAGGTCATGAACCTGGATCGGTTTGACCTCAAGAAGCAGACGATTGTGTCCTCTCGATTGTAGTTCTGCCGGAGCACGGCTAGTCTGTTCGGAATGAGTCCACGTAATGAAATTAGCTTACCATGTTACTTTGTGATTTGTGTTGTTGGTTGTAGTAGTCTTAGCAAAATTGATGGATTGAAGCATGACTGAAGCATGGTTCTGTAGCGAACTCGGTAGCTTTGCCTCTCAACTTCCCGGGGGCCGAAGTCAGGGGCCATGCACTGCGGATCTTCGTATCGGATACTGAAATGGTTGATTTACTCTTGAGCAGCCGGATACCTATGTTAAGGAAGGATATTTGAGAGCTATTGCAGTTGAGCACAAGATGGACACCTGAAAACACGAGCGTGACGACGACCAGACTAACCCGACTACCTAGTCTACAAGCATTCTGGTATGGGTCGGGATCGGGCCCGTCAGTCCAGTCAAAACACAATAGTTTCCCCATCAGGCCGACCCAGTTTAGGCAGCAATCAAAACCCGCGGTGTGAGTGGTCTGATGCTGTGTGGTTCAGGGGGGGAAGAAATGGAGTCAGCCCTACTGCGGGTGGGTCAGCCCTATCTATCTCACCCAGCCCCGTTCTCCATCTCCAATCCCCCATCCTCCATCACCCATTTCACTCTGCTTGAGAGTCAGCCAGGCCATGAATACAACGAGCGTGATGATCATACTCTGAATAGACCAAGATACCAAGGTAAAACATGCAAAGGTTGAATGTACTGAGCCACTGAGCTAGAATGACCACCTAGTGGACGTAACAACCTAAAACATTGACGGACTGAATGCCACCCTGCTACGACCCACGCCACACGCCACCAGAACACGGGAGAGTATTCTCTACGGCAGCCATTCATGGAAAGGCCGGAAAGGTCTCGTAGAGATTACAACATTCTCCCACGAGAATCGAAGTCGGAAGCCCAATTGTACTCGACGTCCCGTCGCTGGGCTACTCCAAGAATGGCCAGAGTGAAGCCCTGGCACTGGGAGCAGGTTGCGAAGACCCTGGTAGGGCTGGCCAGCAGACCAAATGAGCATTGAGGAGCTAAAATCACGACATCGCGCCCCATAATGCTGCCACTACCGGATGCAGGTCGATATACTCCGTAGTTATATGCCACACCACCCGCCGCACCATGACCACCGCCCGGCCAAATATTTCTCTGTGCAGCTCACCCACCTGCTAGCCTTGGATCATGTTGAGCAAGATAGGCCGTCTCGCAGCCAAACTGCTGGGGATTGAACTTACCCCCTCTGATCCAATCCCTACCACCCACAAGCCCGGTGCCCGCGACGCATACGAACATGTCGACTACTATCTCGAGCCTGAGCCTACCCTCGGCGACTGGGTGCGAGAACATACCCCCTCTGGGCGGGCCGTCCGCCACTACTTCTATCACATGTTTCCCTTTTGGCAATGGATTTGGTCATATAATATGCAGTGGTTCATTGGGGACATGATTGCCGGTAAGTGCAGCTCATGGCCTAGCACAAAGATCGGAAAGGCTGACTGATGGTGGTTCCAGGTATCACTGTCGGTGCGGTGGTGATTCCCCAAGGCATGGCCTATGCCATCTTGGCTAAGCTGCCGGCGGAATACGGACTCTACTCCTCCTTCATGGGGGTTCTAATCTATTGGTTCTTCGCCACTTCCAAAGATATCACCATCGGGGTAAGTACTCGCTCTCAAATGCCATGCACACCCAAGGACCGACCAACTTATCCTCTACTCTCTTAGCCGGTGGCAGTCATGTCTACTCTCGTCGGGACCATTATCATCGACACGCAAGAGAAATACCCCGACATCGAAGCGACCACGATCGCCGGAGCTCTAGCCATTGTGTGTGGTGCCATCGTCACCTTTCTGGGACTGACTCGTCTGGGGTTCATCGTCGATTTCATTCCGCTGCCGGCCATCACAGCGTTCATGACCGGCTCCGCGATCAACGTGTGTGCTGGACAGATTAAGACTGTTCTCGGTGAGACTGCCAGCTTCTCGACTCGGGGAGCGACATACAAGGTCATCATTGATACCTTGCGCTATCTCCCGACCTCCCAAATGGACGCCGCCATGGGCCTGACTGCCTTGGCTATGCTGTATGGCATCCGGTCGGCCTGCAATTACGGCTCCCGCAAATACCCTCACAAGGCGAAAGTCTTCTTCTTCCTCTCCACTCTGCGCACCGTCTTTGTCATCTTGTTCTACACGATGATCAGTGCGGCGGTCAACCTGCACCGTCGCCACAACCCTGCTTTCAAGCTGCTGGGCAAGGTGCCGTACGGCTTTCAGCACGCTGGAGTCCCCAAAATCAGCGTGGATATCATTCGAACCTTTGCACACGAGCTGCCAGCCGCGGTGATCGTCTTGGTGATTGAGCATATTGCTATTTCCAAATCATTCGGTCGCGTCAACAACTATACCATCGATCCGTCGCAAGAGTTCATCGCCATCGGAATTGCGAACCTGCTGGGACCATTCCTCGGGGGGTATCCCGCCACCGGCTCCTTCTCACGCACGGCCATCAAGGCTAAAGCCGGGGTGCGCACGCCTCTAGCGGGTGTGATCACTGCTGTGGTGGTTCTGCTGGCGATCTATGCCTTGCCGGCTCTGTTCTTCTTCATCCCATCATCTTCTCTCTCCGCGGTGATTGTACATGCAGTGGGAGACCTTATCGCCCCGCCGAGCACCATCTACAGATTCTGGCAGGTTGCCCCGTTGGACGCGATCATCTGCCTGGTGGGGATAGTGGTCATCATTTTCTCGACCATCGAGATCGGGATCTACTGTACGATCTGCATGTCCCTGGCGGTTCTACTCTTCCGCATCGCCAAAGCGCGCGGGCAGTTCCTCGGGCAGGTGCAAATCCACTCCGTTATCGGAGATCATCTGTTGGATGACTCCAGCACGATCGACCTGACGAAGAATGATTACACTCAATCTGCTCCACGATCGCTCTACCTCCCGATCTCCCACGCGGATGGCTCCAACCCGGCGATTCAGCTGGTTCAGCCCACGCCCGGGGTGTTCATCTACCGTCTCTCGGACGGGTTCAACTACCCCAATGCCAATCATTACACCGACCACCTCGTCCAGCACATCTTCGATCACACCCGACGGACCGATCCTGCGAGCTATGCTAAGCCTGGGGACCGGCCGTGGAACGACCCCGGGCCCCGCGCGAGGAAAAATGTGGAAAGGTCGACCATGGAGGACTCGTCTGCCTCTCAGCCCATACTTCGAGCCATCATTCTTGACTTCTCTGCGGTCAACAATGTCGATATCAGTGCCATCCAGAACCTGATCGACGTCCGCAAACAGCTGGATCGGTATGCCGCTCCCAACCTGGTGCAGTGGCATTTCGCGCATGTCAACAACAAATGGTCGAAGCGTGCTTTGGTGGCTGCTGGTTTTGGGCGACCTCTGCCGTCGGAGTCCCCACAAGGTAGGGTGGTAGATCTGGCGGAGTGGGATGAGGGCCAGGTGGATGGGACAACGCTTCGACCAAACGACGCCGAGTCTCAAGCCAGTGGCAAGGGCTGGATTGAAAAGCAAGGCATGCAAACAACAACGACGACGACGACGCAGGCCGCACTGGATGAGTCGGATGTGTCCTCGGATATTGAGAATGTCATCCCGACGATGCATCAAGTGCCACACACGGGTGAGACTGTGTTGGAAGGCCCCCGGCGACGCATCGCCATGGTGGGTGGTGTGAATAGGCCGCATTTTCATGCCGATCTGCCGGGGGCTTTGGCGGCGGTCAATAAGAGCTTGGAAGAGGAGGTGGGGACGTCAAGTTCTAAACTGTAGGTTAGGCAACGCTACGTACTGAGAATAAGCGATGGATCCACTCAGCACAACTTCAGCCCGTTGCATTCATGTTACTCGTAGCAGATATTCCAGCTCTCTATCTACCTACGGGCGCAAAGCTCATATAATTCATCCAGCATCGACGATGCCCTCTATACGTCCACCTCCGCCGGTCGCACGACGACTGAATCATCTCCTATCTTGTTCGGGCTTCCCTCACGTGAGGTCCTCCGCTCATCGATGAGAGGAGGTTCCCTCATCGTCACGCCAATTCTCCCTCTTGCCAGGTCTCGTTTCTCCAGATAAGCAATCAGTCCAATAAATGGGATGGTCAACGCCCCCGTTACCAAACTCGCGATATACCCTTTGTGGAAGTTGGGCGCATCGGTGGCCGGGAAGAAGATCAACGGCCACCAAGTGACAAAGGCAAAGTCGAACGAGTTCATAAATCCGGTGGTGATGGCCCGCAGCTGGAGGTCATGGGCTGTCACGTCGGCCATCCAGGAGTACCAGATTGCTTGGGGGGCATAGGTGGTGCCGATCAGGTAGAAGGCCACGAAGTACCCTGCGTCGGTGGAGGGGTTGGAGACGAGGATGGAGGAGCCGATGACGAAGGTGAAGCCGATGGCGAGCGAGACCTGCCAGCGTGACTGCAGTCGGTCGGAGATGATGGCGTAGAGTACGGTGCCGAAGATGGCGGCAGCATAAATTCCGGTGGGATAGTTGTTCTGTTGGATGGTCGAGTAGCCCCTTGAAGCCATCCAGTAGGGCATCACATTGTTTGACACCTCTTGCACCGATAGGGAGTACACTGTCCGATCATCAGGGGTCTGAGTGGCCCGAAGGAAGACACCTGGGGCAAGGGGCAACATACGCATGAAGATGAACGGCAACAGCCAGAACTGCCAGCTGAGCAAGACACGCTTGAAGACTGTGGCATCCCAGGATTGCTTGCGCACAACGCCTAGTCGAGTCACCGCGTGTTCTTTCTGCTCCTCGGTGAGATACCAGGCGGATCGGTGGGATGGCAGGTCGGGAATGAACACCCAGCCTGGACACATGAAATGTTAGTTCTTCAATGGTCTTCAATGGCCTTCAAACAGGTGGTGACAATGCCCAAACCCACCAAAGAGTGCAACTGGGACGGTCATCACGGAGACAATGATGAAGATCCATTTCCAGGCTGGCAAACCCCCTTTGCCCGCCAGTGCC